ATATAATAAATGGCTGTTAAGGTGCCTTTGAGCACATCTGTACCGGCACCAGGGCCTGGCTGTGCCTGACCTACGGCATCTCTGTTGAAGTGGAGATAAAGAAGAAAGAATTCCAAGTTCAAGGGTCAAGGGTGTATCAACTAAAAGCATGTGATGTTTTGTGATGTGTTATCTTAATGCATACAAAAAAACTGATGTACTTGGACGAGAAAGAAAATGTTGCAAAAGGTTATTTCGCTTTGGCTCAATGAGACATGTTTATTATTCAAACTTAACACTCGGGCTGCTGCAGAAATTCAGTGGAACTCAGCTTGAATTACTTTCCTGATTTTTTCCCTGTGGTCTTGATTTTGATCTTGTGTCTGTGTGTGTGGGGGCGACCAATGGTTGTGCTGTGTTTGCACTATTTGATAAATCTCTTCCTGTGTGGAAGTCAATTTTGAATATCCGTAGCCGAAACTGTGTGTTTGTTTGTGTGCATGGGTGTGGCCATAATGAATAGTGATGCATATTTGCGTGCATGAGTTACAGCATGTGTGTATGGGCCATGTGCGTGACATGTGTTTTAGTTTGAGGGGGACTAATCCTCCGAAATTTGTGCTGGCTCCGACCTACAAAAACATTTTACTCTGAAATTCAGTGGTAATTGCATTGGTTTCTAGAACTGGATGTGTGTGTGTGTGTGTGTCTGTGTTTCTGATGCATGGGGTCACATCTCCCAGCTGCCTTGTCTGAACAAGAATCACGTCTGGGGGAAGGAGGGGAATAGATTCTACAAAGATCCAAAGGAAGAGAGGAGTAAACGTTAGCTTATTGACATTTTTAAATATCCTGTTTGTTTCTTCCACAAAGCATTTCTGATTCAGGAGCTGCGCTGCACATCTGCAGCATCTGGAAGAACTGCATCCCTCCCATAATTCTGCAGACATTCATATATGTGCATGCTGAAGATAATATCAAGATGCTTTCCCTGTTTGACTGTGTGGATCTATGCAATTGCTTTATTCTCATGTTCTTATTGTCATCTCAGCTTTTGTCTTTTGCATGTTTTTTAATGTGACGTGAACTGAGGAGTTCATTGTGGCTTTTCCGTGGAATTTCAGAGGAAAGGTTCCTGTGATGTAGGGAGAGTCAAGCTGTTTTTGACTCTGGAACTGATTACACAGAAATCCCCCCAGACTGAATCGCTCTTTCAGTCCATGAGAAAGAATAAATGAAAAAACATCAAGAGTGTGCCTGTGTGTGTGTGTGTGTGTGCGTGTGTGTGTGTGTGTGTGTGCGTGTGTGTGTGTGTGTGTGTGTGTGTGTGTGTGTGTGTGTGTGTGTGTGTGAGAGAGAGAAAAAGCGGGGGGACAGAGAGCGAGAGGCTGAGACTGATTTACTCGTATTTGGGGGGGAGGTCATTCCTATTCTGTGAGTCACACTTTAAGACAGACCAGAAGCCCCCCCCCCCCCCCCCCTCCTTTACTGCTCCACTCCTCTCTTCTTCTCTCTGTGAGGAAGAACTCTTCGCAGACCAATGAGAGAACAACTACAGAGAGTAATTACTCTCTATTCTTCCCAATGCCTTCTGATAATGTTCCATAAAAAAGCATGAGGGATTAAATCTTGTGTTTATAAATGTGTCACCTTTCTGTCATTTCTCACGTCTGATCCCTCTTTGACAAAACGTCCCAGGTGGGATATTCTTAACGGAACGGATACCAGTTTCGTTCACATCGCCATCGGCACTCACCAAATGACCCCGTATGCTCTCTCTCAAAACTAAGAGCCTGTCATGTGACCGATGGGGTCATGTGTCTGTTCCTGGACAACAATTAAGTGGCGGTGTTAAAATGCTTTGGCAACTCCGCAGGAAACAGAGCAGTCTGATACATGCACGATTTCTACCGCCAACGTGATCAGCGAGAGGGTAAGGACAAAGAAATAACTGCTTTACCTTCACAGACCTGGTGTGTGATCTCTCAGGGAGACCTCCCACCATGTCCTCCAACACATACATGCGTATAAACATGGTGAGCAGACACATGGACAGTCTTTTAGTGTTTACATCGAGTATAAACTTCTCTCGCTCGGCCTTCTAATTGCAGCCAGACCAGCAAGCTCCATATGTGTGTTTGTGTGGGTTTATGAGTATGAGGGGGTTAATTATGCTGTTTATTCTTTCAAACTACCACCAAGCTACAAGATGAACCATTCAAACATCCAAAAGGTCTGCCTCAGGACCATTGACTCCCACTGTTCCCATGGTTCCCCTTGTGTTCCGCTGAGGGCCACAATTATGTTGCCCTCTCTCCTGATAACTACTACCATGTTGCAATCTGTTGGAGCAGTTTGAGGCATCGTCCATGGGGGGAATTTCTCCAAAACCACAGCTGCGCTTTGGCATCTTGTTATAATGACCCTGATACTTGGGGTGCGCGCGCGCGCTCACATGGTTTCCTGTGGAGCCATGGCGCCTCCAAGCGGTCAACGGTGAGCACCGGGGCGCGCCCCGCATGCACAGGAGGAGGGATCGGTTCTGGGGCTGAACAGGGACAGAACGAAAAGACGAGTGTTCTGCGGGAAGAAAACGCGCATCGGGTGCTTTATTTCCCTTTTCTACCTGCCGTATGTCCACGTCCTTCCTTGTTTCCCCCCTGCTGAGATGAGGAGTTAATCAACACGGGATCCACTGCTGATTAAGATTTGAAGTCGTTTGAAAGAGTTTGGGTAAGCAGATTCTACTTGATTTGTTCCCGTTCTTTTACTCTGTGTCTCCGTGTCTCTCTCTCTCTTTCTCGTTCTCTGCCTTTTTGCATCTCATCAAATGATACTATGGATTTTTTTTTACCTTCTGCGATAATAAAGTTCTTCAAACCCCATAACCATTGGCGCACAACTGGAACGCCGGCTCTCTCATTCTATGTGTGCATGTTTTATGCAGCGTGATATTTACCTGTGCATTGGAGGAAGCCTGTGGGGAACATCTGCAGCAGCGTCTCCTCCGCGGCTCTCGGTCCGGGTCCGCCAGAGGGAGCCGCAGCGCGCAGGACCGACGAGTGTCGGTTGCTGTACAGGCTTAAAACTTTTTTTTGGTGTGGTGCGTCTGAAAGTATCGTTTTCTTTGCCGTTAATAGATTTGAAACTGTGTCAGGAGGTGTGATTTGATTTAAGTTCATTGATCTTCGTCTTTAAAAAAAGCATAATTTAAGATGAATTGATTTTCAATCAATGTGCAGGATTGAACATTTCGAAAAAGGAAAAGAAGGTTCCTTTGTTTTTCACTTTGCAGAGCGCAGACTTTTATATCTTTAGGAGATTTGCAGAGGCCCTGAAGGCCTCCTATCAAGTGTGTTAGTGATTTATGATAATCGGATTAATACTTTTTGGGGGAATATCCACAACGAGGATAACAAGGCCAATAAGACACCTACAGGTTTTCATCCTTTTTCATCATTTTCATGATGCATCATGAAAATGATGAAAAAATAGGCGCTACATATTATTTGTGGCAAATCACAAATAGGGAGCAATGTGGACATCCGCCCAAGACAGCTGTTCAGCAGAAGTTTGCAGTGAGGAAAGGAAAAGCCTCTGGAGGGCAGCAGAAAGAGGCCTTGTGAAATCTTTCTCCATTTTGCGACATCACTTAATCTTTTACTTCAAAATTCCCTTTACTTAAAAAGTGGAGGTGCCATGTTTAGTCAGTATAATTACTTAAACTTTTAGCCTTGGACTCGCAGGGTTCTTTTGGTGGAAGAGTGAGTTCTTGACTTGGGCCTGTGTGTAGTTAGTGGATCTGGTTGAGCTCCCATTGGTTACTGCTGATATTACCACCATTAACAGTGGAAAAAAGAGCCATGGTCCTTTGAAACCTGTTTCATGACTTTCTGCTTAAGTAATTGGACTCTTTCTTGTACAATGATGTTAATCTGAAACCAGATGCAGAATCTACATTTTCTAAATTACAATCAACTACTGCCCTCCGTAATATGACAAAGGTTCTCTGGCAACATTCAGCATTATTAGAATACAACCAGCAAAAACGACCAGCATCCCAATTACAACGTATTCCTTGATTTAAGTTTTAAATGGGTTAAATGTCTGCAATTCAGCATTTTTACTTACTTTTATTTTTACTTAAATGGTTCGTGAGAGATATAGAGTGAGAAATCAACCTGTTGATTGTTGGCTCAGCTGTGTGCTGTCCTGTGTCTTTATAACGTCAGACAGGACACAAGGAAGATGTTGGGGTTAGAGGTCATCGCCCTATGTCTCCTTTTGGGAACCCTGACTCACGGCCAGAAAAAAGAGTGCTGGGGTGAGTGTGGTGAAACCTTTCCTTGTGGCTAAAGTAACATGTCATGTTAATAAGTTTTACTGATATGTCATGGAATATTTTGTTCACCCCATTTCCCACTGAGGCTTAAGTTGTTTTATTTGCGTTCCCTTCAGAGATAAATCAATGTCCCGTGGAGGTGTACTTCACCATAGACACATCTGAGACCATCGCCCTGCACGAGCCGCCTCCTGGAGCGCTGGTGGAGAGCATCCAGGTTCCTTGTTTATCTGTATACTCTACAATTAAGCCTACACATAAGATACCCATTTGTATAGTTATTATCCTTAAACGCCAGTACACCACGTGGGCTTTGTGTTTTATTATGTTTTGTGACTTTTTGTTGCAGAAATTCGTTGTGACGTTTGCGCAGCGTTTGGATGATGCGGACATCAATGGTGTTGTGCGGGTCAACTGGAAGATGGGTGGACTGCATTTCTCTCAGACCAATAAAGAGTTCAGTCCCATTGCGGACAAGAACACCTTTATCAATGTAAGTGTCCCACAGGCGTCAACACACACACATATGAATGTGGCTTTAGCGCAGTCAGCAAGCCAGTTGGCTGGTGTAGAGTTCACATGAATGTTTGACAGATCGGTTACATTCTATGCCATAATAATCTGTGCTGTCGTGATGGAAAATCAAGGATCCCCAATCAAAGATGGAATTTGAAGATGTTTAAAACCTAATGGATGGAATGCTTTCAGGACAATATTCGGGATTCCAGAGACAAACATATCGGCTTGTCATCTTCAGTGATTTTTTGTTTTTGTTAATAGTTTCACTTGTTATTACCAATGAAGATAAAATCTGGGTAGATCTGTTTTGGGGCAGTAAAATGCTGTGTCCTGATATATTCAGGGAAGCTAAGGGTCTTTGCCCCCTGGACATTTGCCTGCTCATCCCAATTCGTAGTCCAGTTTTAACAAGTCTCACTGGTTTCACACGGTTTCCAGGGCGTCAGGAACATCGTCTACCTGGGTAAAGGGACCTACATCGACTGTGCCCTCGGCAACATGACGCAGAGAATGATGCCCCTATCCGCAAACCCCAACGTCCTCCGATTCGCTGTTGTCATCACGGACGGCCACGTAACCGGCGAACCGTGCAATAAAGTCAAACCGGTTGCGGAGAAAGCGCGCGAGCATATGAAGATCTTTGTCATAGCGGCGTCTAAGAACGTGGAAGAGAACGTGCTGACGGACATCGCCAGCACTCCTGCATCCGTCTACAGGAGGGACTACAAGGTTGTGGATCTGAGCCAAGGCAGAGCCACCATACATACAGAGACCATTGACCACATCATCAAGACCATGGTAACACACAAAGACTCTAACACAGAAACACAAGAGAAACCCGACACACAACCAATGCCTCTCCTGCTCACACATTGTTCCTTTTGTCTTCACAGAAACATCTGGCGTACGTAGATGTAAGAATGCTCACACAACTCATGATCATGAAGGTTTGTGTTTCAGACTGCATCAACACTGACCGTTTGTCATGCTGTCTGTTTGACACAGTGTTTCAAAGCCACCTGTCTGGAGACAAAAGGGAGTGACGGTCCAAAGGGTAGCCCAGGACAAAAAGTGAGCTTCTACACACACTCACACCTACAGATTTCAGACAAAAATCCCCTTTATTCTTTACACATATTCTTTCCTTTGAATTCCTTGTTTGCAGGGAGCCAAAGGAGACAACGGCGACCCGGGTCTGAAGGGAGGAAGAGGTCGCCCAGGAGACCCTGGTATCGAAGGTCCCATTGGTCAGCCCGGTTCTAAAGTAAGACATTCGACAGCAACCAAGCTGTGGTTCACTATTCGCTTCAGCATGACAAAGTTGGTTTGTGTCTGTATTGTAAAAAAAACTAATGTTCTTTTCCCTGCCTCCTCTCTGCAGGGAGAACCAGGTCTTCTAGGCGACAAGGTGAGGAATGCACTTCTGTTTTATTTTGATCAAGTTAATCAATGCATGAAATAAATTATTATTTATTTTATACATTATTATTTAATAAATGATTGGCTTTTTATGTGAATGTATGCAAATGATTTATGTGAATGAATAAGCTTTTAATAGATAAGCATACAATGCTCATACGTTAAATAATTGCTGGTTGTCTGTCTGCCCACAGGGAGAATTGGGAACTCAGGGGAAAAAGGTAGGATTTTGTTTTTCAGTTTATGATCTACCATCTAAACAAATCCATTGATTTTCATACAAATTGCTGCGGTATGGTCCTTCTTTTCTAATTATTTCCTCTCTTCATTGCTAGGGTGGGGCTGGTCTTGCAGGACGCAATGGGACAGATGGACAGAAGGTAGCTAGTGCTTAACTTAAGGAGCAAGTTTCATTGTCCATTTTTGTGGACACAGTGACACCTATAATCATTACTAACTTACTAACACTGATGCTATTTTGACAGTCCCTAAAAGAGCATGTAGGATTTTGAAGTGACGCTCTATGACGAACTGTCTTTTTTTCCCAGGGTAAATTTGGACGAATCGGTGCTCCTGGCTGCAAAGGAGACCTGGGCGACAGAGTATGACATTCAACATGATTTGAAGAAATAATACATCCATTGTGTACTACGTTATGGCATGTTTATAGTGTGTGTTTGACGTCTCTTAGGGTCCTGATGGTCACCATGGGGACGTTGGTGAACGTGGTTCTCCTGGAAGTAACGGAGAAAAGGTGCATGGTCTTCACTTGAAAGTAAACCCATCAGCCATACCACCTGCCCAAACTCTGCCCGATTGTGAGCATGTGATGGTTTGTGTTTTCAGGGTGATCTCGGACGCCCTGGAAGATCTGGATCCCCCGGCGCAAAAGGAAACAATGGACCACCGGTAAATTTGGAACACAGCAACAGGGATCGCTGCTCTTTGATTTCCATAGGTTGGAGGAATGCAGGGGGTGAAACGCTTACCTCTGCTTGGTGCTTTGTTCACAGGGAGAAATGGGAAGTCCTGGATCACCTGGCGACCCTGGACAGAAAGGACCCGTTGTAAGGTTCATCGACAGAAATGCCGTCGAAGAGACAAATAGCCTCATGTAGCTCATGTGTGTGTTTTCTGTGTGTTATTTTTCTTAGGGAACCTCTGGAAATCCAGGAGACAAAGGAGAGCCTGTAAGAATGTCCAATTCCAAGTTATCATGTTCCCATTCATCAATAGTCTGCATTGGTAGTACATTGATTTTCTCATATTTCCTGCATTGTAGGGGAGAAGAGGAGACTACGGGAAAAAGGGTGCTCAAGGGCCAGATGGCATTAAGGGAAACAAGGTACACATTTATGTATACACATGGGCTAGTATTGTGAACGTTTTGCATTGACACAAATGATTTTCTTTCATTGAGAAACAATACTCCACCTCTTGAGGCCTCAATGCAGTTGTGATGTTTCAGGGTGAAATGGGTCCAGAAGGCTTGAGAGGACCTCCAGGTGAATTAGGAAGCAAAGGAACAAAGGTAAGAAAAGTTATGTTACCTGTGTAGTTTGTATACATTCATCTACCTAGGGTACACAACTCTGTAATCTACCTGCCATCAACGTCCTCTCTCAACAGGGAGACAATGGCCTGCCAGGCCCCAGGGGACCGCCAGGGACAAGTGGAGAGGCTGGGAAAAAAGTAGGTGAAGGCGCTCAATTGCACATCTTGTGAAATAGATTCCTGATACACTTTACATCAAAACGGTTTGTATGTTAGGGTGCCGGTGGGGACCCTGGTGATGCTGGACCTCGAGGAGAACCTGGACCGATTGGACCAAAGGTATGCGTCCCTGTGAATGTGTAAGTGTGTTCCTCCGACTGTTTTCAGCTGTTTGTCATGACCGTTTCTTTTGTTTCTATTCAGGGAGATCTTGGAAGACCTGGCTTCAGCTATCCTGGATCAAGAGGAGCACCGGTAACGTTCACATGCACTTCATCACACAATCATTTGCTAGAATGACACGTTTGGCTCTTAAACATTCCTCTGCTGCTTTACAGGGTGATAAAGGAGATCTCGGCAGTCGTGGGCCTCGCGGCAGCAGAGGGAGCTGTGGTCAAAGTGGGGCTCCCGGAAATAAAGGAACTGCCGGAGACGAAGTGGGTAGCTCATTGTAGTTGGATGTATTCCGTTAGCGGAGACAAAAAGTACACAATGCAATTTTTTTTCGCTCACAACAGGGTGTGCCAGGATCTGAGGGTGAGCCAGGCCGGAGAGGGGAAAGAGGAGACCCTGGCCGGGATGTAAGTATACTTAAAACGCATCGCAAACCAGGTACCCGGTGAACCAGGTACATGTACCACAAAAAGGGACATATTTAAACTTACTAATACAGGGAGTTGCATCCAGTTAGGAAATGCCCACCGAAGCTGGTGTTTTTGAATGTTTACTTCTAGATCAGCGTTATCTCTAGCAATCCCAACTCAGATAACAGCTAAGAGTGAGAATGGAATTTCATATGTTGTCTCTCTTTACAGGGAGGTCCTGGCCCTGAGGGTGATCCCGGACTCACTGTAAGAACATTTTATTAAACCACTCTTTTAGCTCTGCACATCAAGAGAAATGCATGCCGGATATATTGATATAACGTTTCTTCCTGCAGGAATGTGATGTTATGAACTACATCAGGGAAACGTGTGGCTGCTGTGGTGAGTTTAGCTATTGGATTTGTGTGGAACTAAACATGCTCCGATAAGCTGGTTGTCACAATTTGTGGTTTCTCTGCAGACTGTGAGAAACGCTGTGGAGCCCTGGACATTGTCTTTGTGATTGACAGCTCAGAGTCAGTGGGTCTGACAAACTTCACCCTCGAGAAGAACTTTGTCATCAACACCATCAACAGATTGGGATCATTTGCCAACGACCCCAAGTCGGAAATAGGTAGACATTTGTTTATGCTCATGTGGTTCTTAAATCATTTAAGAACCACATGTCTGTACATTGACCGAAAAAACAGGGTGTCAACACAGTTGCATGTGTTCCAGGTACAAGAGTGGGAGTCGTTCAGTACAGTCACAGTGGAACCTTTCAGGCCATCCAACTCGACGACCCCAAGATTGATTCATTATCTGCTTTTAAGGTCTCGAACACAAACACATGCAAACTGCTTTGAAGATTATTTTTGGTTGTAGCACAAACTGTTTTTTGTGTTCCAGATGTATCTTAATTAATCAGAACAGATGTGCCGCAGTAACATGTCCCTCTCTCTCTATTTCTCACATTTACCAATATATATTATATGGCATACAATAGATGGTAGACCCACCTTAAAGTATCAAACTGGTTATATATTTTTGTCAAAAAATCCTATTAACATTGAAAAACACATCAAAAAGTTAAACTATTCCACTGGGTGACACACAACATGACAAATGTGTATTCATCCGCAGGTGAAAATAGTCCCTATGGAATGCAGAATTCACTCCTATTTGAGATACGCCTGCTGATAACTACAGTAAGACAATGAGACAATGGACAACAAGACAAATAACACAACATAAGAAAAGTGCCATGTTCAATTTACAAATTAACAATCAGGTTACAATTCAGGTTCGGGCCCATAGGGAGGGGTGGCGCTGACGAGCCGACCGAACCAGATAGGTCCTGATACATGCGACTACTATGCACAGTCCACAACCATGGCAGCGATCTTTGCCACAGAACAAAATGGCCGCTGTGTAACTAAAAATGATCTTCACTTTGCCTGAGTGTCCGCAGCCTGTAGTGATGTCACATCACTGTGTGTGCACGTCTCTCACATTCCAACCTCCACTATCCAGAATGCAGTGAAGCGCTTGGAGTGGATTGCCGGAGGAACATGGACTCCATCAGCTCTCAAGTACGCCTACGACAACCTGATCAGGGACAGCCGCAGGGCCAAAGCCAACGTCAGTGTTGTTGTCATCACAGATGGACGTTTTGACCCCAGAGATGACGACTCGCTGCTCACCTACCTCTGCAGGTGCATGGTCATGGGGCTGTATTTGGTGATTTATAATTAGTGTTTGTGTCAATGAGAACACATCCAATGCAATTCTTGTATTTGTGTGAGCAGTCATTCCGGCGTTGATGTAAGTGCTATTGGTATCGGAGACATGTTCGACCAGATCGAGGAGAATGAGAGTCTGAAGAGCATCGCCTGCCAGAAGGATGGCAGGGTTCTGGGCATGAAGCGCTTTGCAGACCTGGTGGCAGACGAGTTCATCAACACAATTGAAAACGTTCTATGCCCAGGTACACACTTGTGCGAAAAGACACATTATATGCAGTACGTTCCCCTAGTGTATTATAGAGCTGTTATGTCCGGTACCTTTCTCTGATATTCTCTCTTTATCTTGGTTTTAGAACCTGTCATCGTATGCCCTGATCTCCCTTGTAAATCAGGTAAGATGTTAAATTATTATGAAACACTTTGTGTCTCCTCTTCAAAGACTTTTCAGCATTTGTGGCGAAGTAACCAGAATTAACAAGGCGTCAACACGCTTCCTGTGAAAATTTTAAAATGCTGTATCTTTCTGAAACTGACAATACTTCTGTTCTTAACACAACTTCTGTCATCACTTTCCGTGTTCATAACCGAGTGCAACACCATGATTGTCCTTGAGGAGACAAAGTGTGCACAGCCATCCCCATTATTATGATACCTGCACCTCTCTATGACAGCAGGCTTTTCCCCTCAATTTAAGTGTGGCCCTTCAGAACAGAAACAAGCACCTGGGCCTTCTGCTGTGTCCAGACAACACTTGGTACCAGCTCGGTTGTTCGAAGCATACTGATGCCTCTAAGCAGGGCCCGCTGCCTTCAAGCTACGTTAAGGATGAAACGAGTTGTGTCTTATATTTAGTTTGATTTAGTTTAATCATTTGCCTCCTTTGCTATGATGCGGTAAATTTGTGTTGCTGTAAATTCAACCAAGAAAACCAAACCTCTTGCAATTTAGTGCAACTCGGTGTATCTGCGGCATCTTGCGTCGTGTCTGTGGGACTCCGCCCACAATGTCATTCCGCCCACTTGTTTCAGGAGGGGGCGTCACAGAGGGGCAAGGCCCTGCCCCCTGGATGCCGCTCGCCGAGGAAGGCAGCCCCTCATTGGTCCCCACCTCTTTGGAGGGTGTAGCCAGTCTGCTGAACGGCCTGAGTGAGCAGCAGTACGGGGTTGGCGTTGCGACCATGGCGTACACAGCCCAAAGAGCCAAACTTGCCGAGGGAGTGGACAGGCAGCACTGGACCCAGCTGTTCATCAACTCCTTCAAATACGTCTATGGAGACATAATTGGAGACCCAGAGAAAGCCTTAGGACTCTGCTAATGCCAACATGCTGACCGTGCTACCTCCTCATTGTGGTCACCAATAGCCAATAAGCTTACTGCTGGACATAGAATAGATTTGATCAGATCTGTGGGCATTTTCTAGTAATTTCTCTAGTGGTGTAGTATACTACACCCATGGTGTGGGTTGAATCCAAAAGCATTGACTGACGGGATGCTGGCCCTGTCCTTACATTTCAGAGCAGCATAATGGGCCAAAATTCTAAATGTCATGCTCCCTCTCCTCATAGAATATTTTTGAATCGAGGTACATGGTACATAGTAATATGTCTAATATGATACATATCATTTCTTCTACTCTTTGTGGAGGGACGTTTTCCATTCGCATGGAAAGTAGATGTCATTTGTTGGGGGCAGGTTGGTCTGTAGAGCCATTCATGTTACTCTTGAATAGTGAACAGTAGCTCCTTGATGAAGCTTTATTTCCACTGTGAATCACAAGCTCACAGAATCCCTCAGAGGGCTTTTTTTATTTTGTTTTTGCTGTTTTGCACACATCCATGGTTACGGCCTTCGCTTTTTTCTTGTGCTCCGTGAATGAGTCATCTTGGTGAAAAGGCCAAGACGTGTGGAAACTATCTGGTTGTATACACAGTTTACTGTATATGAGTTTTGAAGTTGGTGTATGTTTGGTCAATTGACTGACAGTGAAGGAACTATTGTATGTTATGCCTTATTTCTTGCATGTGGCTTGGCTTGTAAAGTAGGACGACTAGGACGATGTCCTGATATCATTTTAGCTCTTTGATGGAAACTTACTGATGTGAAAAATGTTGTTTTGTATAACATGTATTCATGTTTTAAATTGCCATCTCAAGAGAATAAAATCATAGAGCAAAATAAAACAGTGTTTTCTTAATGAGGCCACACCACTGATATAAGAAGCTTTAGATGCAATATGCTAAACTGCAACTAGCATTGAGCTCTATTGAGAGAGCATATTTTTTTACAGGCGCATCTGCGTTCCAGCTGTAGCTCGCTGAACACCTTGTCTGATTTAAAAATCCATCCACCTGTGTGTGTGTTCCAGAGCCCTCGGTGGCTAGCTGTGTTCAGCGGCCGGTGGACGTGGTGTTCCTGTTGGATGGCTCTGAGAGGATGGGACAGGAGGACCACCGAAGGGCCAAGGAGTTCATCGAGAACGTGGCTCGCCGCCTCACCCTGGCCACCGGCCAGTCAGACGAGAGGAATGCCCGCTTGGCTCTCCTGCAGTATGGCAGCCCTACGGAACAGCGGGTGGAGTTCGGGCTCACACACAATCTCACAGTGATCACTAATTCGCTGGCCGGGGTGACCTACATGGACTCCTCGTCCGCTCTGGGCAGCGCTATCATCTATGCGGTCAACAATCTTGTGATTCCACAGGTAAAAAATACGACCCTTTTACCAGCAGCCCTCATTAACATCGTATCTTGTTTGTGACAGTGAACTGTGAACTGTGTGGTTTTACAAGGGGATTTATGTTAAACGGTCACTCGGGCGGTTTAGTGATTTCCCATTGACAGGGTGGAGATGGAGCCACAAGCCCTCACAGATTACGTATTTTGTAATTCCTACATATTTAACAAATGCACTCTTTATGCTAAGCTAATCTGCCTGCAGATTCATATTCACTGTTCATTAATGAATGTGGTAGCAATCCTCTCATCTCGTCTCTTGGCAACATGGTAAATGCGCATATATCCAAGGGCGTAACCGCGCATTCTTTGGGGGGTTTCGTGTCCGGCCGACGAAGCAAAGCCACACGAAAAGCACAATGAAAGCCCCCCCCTGTCGGCCGTGGCGTCCAGCGGACCCCCAATGTCTACGCCCTCGCATGCATATATGCCAGAATGTCAAACTATAATTATTTAATCCAGAGGTCTTCAACGTGGGGTCCGCGGAGGAACTGCAGGGGGGTTGCGACGTTTTTGGTTCATAAGACAATTTTTTTTTCCCAACCAATTTTTCCACAAATTTAAATGTCTTCACAATCAGAATTGTATTTATTGTCTCTAAATACACATTAACATGAATCCAACATATTGTAGCACAGCAGCTCTCAGGCTGGGCACCGGTTCACTCACAGCACCTTTCACGCAAACACGACATCACAGGCATCAGCCAATCAGATCGCGTTCATGCTCACGTCCAAAGAGCGCAAAAGTCTAAAATAAAAGGTGGCGGACCAAACTCCGTAGAATCGGGGTCCCTGCTCCACCTCGCCTTCTGTTTGGGGGACATTGGCCCCCGTTTTAATCTGTGCACAAGCAGAAAGAACCGCCTACTCTCTGTCCTCGTTAACGACGCCGTTGTGTTCGCAGCGGGGGGCGCGCTTGGCGCGACGCAACGCCGAGCTGGCCTTCGTGTTCGTCACTGACGGCGTCACGTCCACCGAGCAGCTGGAGGAGGGCGTGTCGGCGATGAGGCGAGCCGAAGGCGTCCCCACCGTGATCGCCGTGGGCACGGACACGGATGAAGACGTGCTGCGGAAGGTGTCGCTAGGGGACACGTCGGCCGTCTTCAGGGGAGCCGACTACGCCGGGCTGAACAAGCCGTCGTTCTTCGATCGCTTCATCCGCTGGATCTGCTAGTGAGGACGAGCAGGCTGCTTCAGCGCGTCAACGGACAACTGCGACCTTTCAGTAGGACCAGCGGACACCCTCACAAACACATCGGCATGTCATTTGTAACTTCATTCTCAATCGATGGTCAGCGCTTCCAGTCAAAGACTTACCCCAGAAGAGAGGTGTATGATTGTGTATGAAACAAATTGTACTCTTTACTTTTTTTATGTTATAGGTGTTGCAGTCTGTGTCTCCTCGACATCAGTATTTACATCAAAGGTGCTGAAATAGAAATAAAAGACACAACCATTTGAACTGTTCTAGAAAACATTTGACATTGTGTGATGTAATTACATACATTTGTTGTGTAAACTTATCCTGTCCAGGGAGGAAAACATCTCCCATAAATGCCCCACTTAGGCAATCGAGAATCGCACAAACCAGCACTGCCATTGTTTACTACACATGCATTGGCAGACGAACATAAAGAAACCAGTGTGTAAAAATAAATTCAGAATAAAGCCTAAAGTGGTGACCCCAACACTGTTTTTTCTGTGTTTATTGTTATAGATCAATGTGTAATTTGCCACTGGAACCATATTGTCAGGCTACAATGGCGGACCCAAATGCACGACTCAGGAAACAGGGATAAGGGCATCGGTTCATTGCTCCCAGAGTAACGCAGGCAGTACAGGTCCAACAGGCAGGTAAACGTGGTCGTAGAAACAGGCAGTAGGTCGAGGGACACGAGAAGACAAACCAAGGGAACGCTGGAAAGTGAGTCAACATGGAACTACAACAAGGGTGAGCTTATATACACGGGGAGGGGAAGACACACAGGTGAGGAAGGCAGGAAGACAAGTGACGTGAATAGAGGCGAACAGTAAATGCAAAATAAAACAGGAAGTTTATGAAACAGACGGAAAACACAATAAGAGCGGAGGCATATTTTACACATATTAGTAAGGAAATGGTTCTCAACAATTATTTTAGTGAAGGGAAAAGGTTAGTAAAACGTGCATAACACATACATAAGTAAGATATGTTTTTGGAACGTAAAATCAATTCTGTCTCCATGATGAAAATAATTGGCTTCTTAAATATTTTGATCCCATAAGAGAAATGACTTCTTCCACGACATTGTGTGGTTGTGGCTTTGTCTCTCTCTGCTGTGCAGAGACGTTTGATCACATTTATTCCACAGTTTCAGTAGTTAGTTATTTTTTCAGATTTGAATTAAATAGTTAAAAATAGACAAACTAACAAATCATGACGTGTCTATTTAACAGTATATCAAGTAATTAAAATTAGCATCATCTTCACCGGATGCAACGTGTAGGTAATGTACAGAATAATACAACCTTAATTAATCAATAATTATAATCCAATTCTTTATTATTTTGACATGAGCACTCGTGCACAATGATCAGTCCGCGTCCACCTGCGTTTATTGCATGAAGTTTAAAGAAAGATAGTGTTGGCCGCATGCCGTCCGAGGCTTTGACCACTCCGGGACACCATAACGCAAGAAGACCAGAGTGACGTCACACCGTCTCTCATTTTTTCCAGCGTCACGGTGAGTCTTCTGTCGCGATTAATGCTCCCACCGCCGTGCATTGTCTCAGCTTAATATTCGTTAAGATGCATTTCAAATGTAAATGGGCGAAGTGAAAAGAAGTGAAAATAATTGTCCGTTTAGAAAGAATAACTCCGGTCATTCAAAGCTGAAAGAGCTCCACGTTACGTAACGCTGCTGTAAAATGACACATTGGGAGAATTAATTCCCCGTTGACTAACGTCACGTGTGCTGTTGGAGTAGAAATTCTACATATATATATTTTAAAAAGCATTATTATTACAAGTTAGTTTTCATAAGAAAGAGTGTCACTGTCACTAGTTTTGGGGTTGGAGGTGGTCATGCACAATAATTTAATTGCATAAAATACCATGGAAACCGTGCGTGTGCGTGCGTGCGTGTGTGCGTGTGTGTGCGTGTGCATGCGCGCGCATGTGTGCGCGTGTGTGTGTGCGCGCGCGTGTGCGTGCGTGTGTGTGTGCGTGTGTGTGTGTGTGTGTGTGTGTGGGGGGGGTGTTTGTTCCAGGGCTGCCAGTATGATGGAAGCGTCCCTCTCCTCACTCTGCACCCCTGCGATGCTGGTGGATGTGGACAAAGTGAAGAGAAATGCACAGCGGATGATTGAACGCTGTCGGGATCTGGGGGTGCAGCTTCGGCCACACATGAAGACCCACAAAACCCTGTACGAACACAGAGACACGCTCACACAATACATTCATACATTTCTGTCATGCGGTTGATTTATTTATACAGCGCCAAATCACAATTTAAGTCATACCCTTATCACGCGTTCCATGTCGAGCAGGTTTATATCACACTCTTGAGTTCATGGAAACCCAACATTCCCCCACAAGCAAGCGTTTGGCCAGTGGAGGAAACATTCCTCTCATGTAGGTGTGCGGCCATCTGCCTGGACATGTTGGTTTGTGAGAGAAACTGAGATGCACAACAACTGTGATATCAATAACAATTATAGAAATGATTGATCAAAGTAGCACTGGGCATCAAGCAACAGCAACAATATCAGCCAGGATCCAGACGACATCACAACTCATGGCAACCTCTGAAAGGAGAGGTGTCCGACAGCGGCAGCTCTGGGTGCCGTTCTGCTCCTGAAGACGAGGAACCATAATAAACCGAGCATGCTGGGAGCGTAATGCTATGGTTACGTAGGACTAAGAGTGTGGGCTGATCATCATCTGATCTGTTCACATCATATTGGGGACATCAAAGAGAGGCGATGGAGAGAAACTAGTGTGTCATTTCCTACTTCCTGTCAGCGCACGTGTCACAGATATATGGATCAATTGGAGATTCTTAAGAGACTAATAAAATGAACCGTCCGTTCTGGAAGTAACTAACTAACTACACTGTGTGTCTTGTTTGTGAAACGTTGGCCTGCGTCTGTGTCTTTGTGTTGGTGTCCAGTGAGTGTGCTGACATTTTGACCAGTGGGTCACGGAGGTGCGTCGTGGTGTCCACACTGGCAGAGGCCTCCTTCTATGCCGACCACGGATTCGATGACATCCTCTATGCCTACTCTCTACCCTTTGATAAGGTCCTCTCCACGCAGATGCTAAAAAGATGTATTCATGGCAGAAAATGTTTTGAATATGTGAAAAGTGACTAAATGTTTTTAAAAAGCTTTTTGTGCGAAATGTGCAGTACTGTCCTGTATGTTTCTATGGTACTCGGTGCCACAGCGCCAGTGTAGACGAGTCAAAATGTCTGTGCACAGAGGGGATGGAAGAGAAGCTCACAGCTGTATCTTATTCAAACAATTTGCAGCTGGTCGGGAAACAGCTCCATGTAAATCTTGGAAAAAAGTCAATTTAATGACAAATGTTGGCAAATGACAGTTTGTCTTAAATGGTTAAATTGATTCCTTGCAAATGAGTTTCAAATATTTTATTCTACTGTATGACATCTAGTATGCAGTACATCATTTATTTACTGGTATTATGTAGTATCAAACTGAGAAATAGCTTTCCTCTGTTGTTGTATGTAAATGTACCAATGAGCCCGCATAGGAATACGGATTGATTGATTGTCCACCTTTCATGCTGGTTAGTGTAATTAACATAGATCTGATGTCATTTCTGACAGCTTTGATATTTTTTAAGTCATCTCCCAAAAATGCTCCAAATGATCTCTAACTGTGCTCATAGGTGGAGCGCTGCGCCGCACTGTCAGAGAGGCTGGATCTCTTCCAGGTTCTACTGGATCATCCTCATGCGCTGGATCAGCTCAAAAAGAGACCACTGAAAGACGGTCGGCTGTGGCACGTCTGGCTCAAACTCGACTGTGGCAACGGGAGAGGTAAACGTGCAAAGCATGAAGACTCATCGTCGGCTGCTGTAAGTCTAGTGATGGTTGACCTCCGGTTGGTTCTTTGCCGTAGCCGGTGTCCTGCACTCAGAACCCGAGGCGCTGAGATTGGCTCTGGCCATCGGCGGGGCGGCGGGCGTGGAGCTCACGGGAGTGTACGCTCACTGTGGGAACACCTACAACTGCAGAGGAGTGGAGCAAATACAGGCTGTCGCAAAGGAAACCACAGATTTGACCTTGCAGTTTATGAAAAAGTATGTAAAAAGAATGAAGGCCATGGCACTTCAAAAGAAATGCAGGTAGAGGATAAATTGGATCATATTACACCTGCCAAACAGAATGATTAAAAAACAAGAACCTTTGTCTCACATACATATTTTTTATTAATATCATTTGGTTTACATTTGAATGACACATAGAAGTGTACCCACTTTTCTGTTGTGGGTTGTTTAATGATTGTAGAAGAAAGAGGAAGGAAGTCCAGGTAATAAGAAAGAACTTCTATGTGGTCTTGCACTGCCCCCAAATAGCTTAACATTTAAATGTAAAATGACATGACCTCATTGGCAATCATCACAATAAGACGTCAGCGCAGCTACTCGCGTAATCAATTTGTGTCCCAACAAAATGCTCTTGGTGGAATCATTCAATATGGATTTGCTCTCTGGCAGACTGAAGGCTGCCGGCATCACCTGCAAGTCCAGCATCGGCTCCACGCCGTCCTGCAGCCACCCCGTCAAAGACATGGCGCAGCTCAGCGAGGTGCATCCTGGGAACTATGGCTTCTATGGTGTGTGTGTGTGTGTGTGTGTGTGTAGCCGTAGTTGTATAAGTGCACCAGTTGGTTTGTATTCTCAGCAGATGAATGTGGGTGTTTTATGCCACGGCTGTCTTTCAGACGTGCAGCAGTCTGTCATTGGCTCGTGTAGTCTGGAGGATGTGGCCGTGAGGGTTTTGACGAGAGTCATCGGACACTGTCCTCACAGGAACCAGCTCCTGATTGACTGTGGATGGACTGGACTCAGGTACCTTCATCAATAGTGTTTGCCCCGTTTGGCAGTTGCAGAATGGACGTTTAACGGCTCGCTGTGTGAAGCTGATCGAATGCTTTATTATGAATGAATTAGTCTAGATGGAGCCGGAAAACTTCCCACTGGATATGCTGTGGTTGAGGGACACCCAGACCTAAAGTATGGTTTTCCACTCTTGTCTCCCAACTTTAATACTTAACTCAAGTGTGACTACGGTTCTGCTAACATACATTTCCCCTCAGGCTGTTATCGATGACCCAGGAGCATGGTAGATTGGAGCCCATCTCTGGTCCGCTGGACTACAGCAAATACCCCCTGGGCTCTCTGCTGCAGCTTATCCCCTACCACGTTAGTGCAGCTCAATATGGAGCCACGGTGAATGTTGTGTCAGCTTTGTCGTCCCTTGAATGTTGTTTGACTTGCTCTCTGTTTATTTTACAGTCTTGTGCAACTGCAGCGATGCATCCCGTGTACTTTGTGCACTCTGAGGGCCGTCTGCTGGGGAAGTGGACACCAACACGCGGCTGGTGAACCAGCTAGCTCAATGAACGCTAGGTGATGGAATTCTTGCAGCAACTCTTTTCACCTGAAGTGTATTCAGTGTATACAAGGATTCCAAAACCACTGCTTTAGTAACACATAGTGCTTTTGTAGACCTATTCTCCAAATGAGTTTGAATAACAAAACGTTCTTAGACTATGTTTCCACCCATCATTTGATCAGAAACCTACCTGTGTTTTTGAAAGGAGTCAGAATGACCAAGACAGCAGCAATTAAGGCCAGTTTGCCGCTGCTGGTTTGTGAGTACTCACTTCAGGCTGAAAGAATAAACACAAAAAGAAGGTAAAATGTGGTTTATGGCTCTTTTCTATCAACAATGGACACTGGATTGGTTCGGTTTTAATCAGGAATCAGGAAACATTTATTGCCAAAATATGTCAAACATACAAGGAAAAATAGACAACAAGACAGCAATGCACAAGTAATAAAATGAAATGAAATGCTAATGCAATGGGTTAGTAGAATAAGGCTATGGGTTAGTATAAAATAAGAATAAAGTTAAAAGTAAAAAATGTAAAATATTAAAAATAAAGTGAACTATCGAACAAGTGACAAAGTGACGAGTGGTGACAAAGTAACGAGTGTTAAAGTGGCATGTGCAGTATGAGGGGGAGTGACCAGTGGAGTGTTATAGTCAGTCAGTGGGGGACCGGCTCTGTTGATGAGCCCGACTGCCGACGGGAAGAAACTGTTGGTGTGGCGGGAGGTCTTAGTCCTGATGGACCTCAGCCTCCTGCCAGATGGAAGGGGCACAAACAGGTTTTGTCCGGGGTGGGAGGGGTCGGCTACCATCTTTTTAGCTGCTTCAGAGACCTGGAAGCGAACAAGTCCTGCAGGGACGGCAGATTGCAGCCGATCACCCTCTCTGCAGAGACGCTGCAGCCTGCCCTTGTCCTTGGCTGTGGCTGCAGCGTACCAGACGCTGATGGAGGAGCAGAGGATGGACTCCATGATGGCCGTGTAGAAGTGGACCATCATCGTCTTTGGCAGGTTGAGTTTCTTCAGCTGCCTCAGGAAGAACAACCTCTGCTGAGCCTTCTTGGTGATGGAGCTGATGTTCAGCTCCCACTTGAGGTCCTGGGTGATGATGGAGCCCAGGAAACGGAAGGAGTCCACAATAGTGACGGGGGAGTCACACAGGGTGACGGGGGAAGGTGGGGCTCTGTTCCGCCGGAAATCCACAACCATCTCCACTGTCTTTAGAGCGTTGAGCTCCAGGTTGTTCTGACTGCACCACGACACCAGATGGTCAGACTCCACCTGTAGGCGGACTCGTCCCCACCAGAGATCAGTCCAGAGTTAACCCTCCGCTTTTAGGGGTGTTCCTTTATTTTTGAATATCCATTATTTAGTTTTTTTGCACAAGTTTTGTCCCGTCTCCAAAAGTAATTACTGTGAAAGGCTGACACTTAGTTCAGACAGTGTACTGCAAAACAGGCGATGATCACTACACGTCTTACTGATTAATTAATTAATTAACCTAACTAACTACTAGGGGTAGTTGTACTTCGACTACCATCGCATCTCTTGGATAATAGTGGTTGTTTATCTGACTAAATACAATTACTATAATGTTAGTACTACTTATTTAGTCATGCACGTTTCTAAATAAAATAGAGTGAGACGACCCAGAAGTAGAAGTGTAAGTTGCCTCCGTCACAAGAGCCTTTCACATTCTCCAAATGCTAAGGAAGTAGCTTCAATGCTTCCTTATTTATCTCATTTAGCACAGGAACCACCGGACATTCGTTGACGAAATGAAAGGAGATCTTCGGTCCAAAAAATCGTTGCGGCGTCAATATTTAAATGTCACCGCTGCAGACTGACGTCACTACCACGCGTCTCCCGTCGCATCAAAACTACGTCTCTTAAGGAACGTTTCCCTAAACACCGCGGTTGTCTTTTTATAACTTCTCATGAATTCTCCTAACCATCGCTCCTTGGACCCGTGATGTTTTCCACAGAGGTCAAGTGGTCAGGAAAAGAATCGTTTTTGTTGACTATTCGATTCCAGTCAGCCTCAAGCGGGCAGGTCGTGTTAAGTGCATTCTGGGAAATGTGGTTGTGTTGTAGCTTACGTTCTGATTGGCCGCCGTATGACCTTTCACTTGACACGTGGTTTAAAAACTTCAGGCGAATGGCGCGGGAAGTTGTCACAACGCGCAGCGTTGCGTTCAGCTCATAAACGTGTTTGTTTGCACTTCCGTCGTGCGACACGGACTCCCGGTCTGGTAAGTTGTAGTCCTTCGGGTCAGCGTCCAGTGCGCGGCGGCTGACGTCGCGTTATCGTGATGAGTTGGACGAACAGGGCGGGTCGCTTTTAGCTGCCGGGGGCCGCCGGCACATCGCGTGCTGTAGCTCCCTGTGGTCATCATGAGCGTGTTGGAGGTGAAGTTCATCGGTGATGGAGACGCTCTGCAGCACATCGTGGATAAACAGGAGGGTATGAGCTCAGCCCGGTCACTCTGCTGTACTGATGTTTGGGGGTTATCGGCAGATTATCGATCTGCTCCGTCTCATCTGTCTCCTCTCTCTATCTTGTGTATAACTGACAGGTGTGCAGAGCAACAGTGGGTCTGTTCAGAAGATGGTAACCTTCAAGAGTCCAGCAGGACGACGAGCCAAAGAGGACGCAGGACACGATGGGGCTGAAGATGAAGTCCTCGATGAGCAGGACTATGTCCAAGCTCTAGGAGCAGGCAATGCAGAAGGTGAGTAAGACGCCTGCATGCCCCTGGATACCTGCTGTGGACAGTAAACCATCTCCAATTTCTACAAAGCTGTCTTAGCAGGTTCTTCCTTTACTGTTTTCTTTGTCCCCAGCGCCCCGTCCGCCCGCCACGTTGTAATACACTAAAGTGGTTCCGTTGTTCTCTTTTGTTTTGCAGAAGATGAAGATGGCATATACAGAGTGGCGGGTTCCTCCATTTTTACCTTTAAAAAAGCCAAACGTGGACACAGCATGGCCCTGACTGGTGAGAGCCTTCGTGCTCTTCTGTTACACCACGTGTCACACGCATGATTACTAAGTTGTCAGCATGTTTCACACTGTGTGTTTTATGTTAGCGAGCGAATTGGCACGGACTCCTGGGAAAGGTGTGACCTGCAGCACGGCCTCCGGCATTGAACCCTCGACTCCAACCCGGAGGGGCCGCAGTGAGTTCAAGCACACTTCCCTTATTTATTTTTGTTGTGTCAATTTGCAAAGAACATCTGTATTCTGTGTCTCTCGGACTAGACCTCAGAGGTGGAAGCAGGACGCCACAGAAGGTGAGACTAGAAGGGATTTCGTTGTCTCTCGTATAAACAACAAGTAGGAACCAGCAGCCTTTTTTTGAGTTCATAAGCTATTTCGTAGGAGGCCTGGCTGCTGCGTCAGAGAGGCCGTTTTCTCCCCGTTACCTCTGCTTTTTTTGTGACTGACAGAGCAGGAAGGTTCAGTTTGTCTCCACGACACCCCACAGGCTGAGGAAGAGAATGACAAGTGAGTGTGACGAGGGAGGCCTTGCAGAAGTTAGTAGGTGGGTAGTTAGACTGTTGCTAAGCTGTTTGATGCTCTCAGCTCCCAGCTTACGGTCAGACAGCGATAGTGAGCTGTCGCCCTCCGACTCTGAGGAGGAGGAGGAGGAGGAGGAGGAGGATGAGACGAAAGAAAAGAAGGAAAACCAGGAGAACTTGAAGACCCTGAAAACACCCCGTAAAGGTTCATCTGCCGCGCTCTACAAGACTCCTGCCAAGAAAAGCAAGTCCACATCTGAAGCCCTCAATCAGCCTGGTATGGTTGAGGAGTATTTTGAAGCCCACGGCAGTTCGAAGGTCTTAACCTCAGACCGCACACTGGCACGTTTACACACCCCTAAACTCGACAGGGTTAGTATGTGAGCGCCGGTGGTCTAAATACAGTCAAGGAGCCGGGCTGCCTTCTCATTGAAGTTCATCCTCTGTTTCTGTTTGCAGGAGACTTTGGTGCAGCTTCTAGAGGGAAAACCGTCCTGCTGCTCCGAAGAGATCCAGCAGCTCCACAGCAAACACCAAAAGCACTTCAGCAAGTGGATGTTACAGTTACAGTGAGTGTGGATTGGGCCTTTATGTTTTTTGGTAGTGTTGAGATACAGCACAAAACACCGTGTCCCTGTGTTTGCTTGTGTAGGTTGGGATTCAGCGTGCTGGTCTACGGTTTGGGAAGCAAAAAGTCTCTGCTGGAGGACTTCCGTCTGTCTCACTTGGCTCAGGAAATCCACCTGGTGGTCAACGGATTCTTCCCTTCCATCACGCTTAAATCAGTCAGTACACACAGAAAAATCACATCGTGTGTGTGTGTGTGTGTGTGTGTGTGTGTGTGTGTGTGTGTGTGTGTGTGTGTGTGTGTGTGTGTGTGTGTGTGTGTGTGTGTGTGTCCAAACTTTTCTTATTATTCTCTGCTTTCGAACTCCATTGTTGGCTGAATACTGTTACTAACAGTGAGTGAGTCCTGTTGCTTTAGGCCCGCGGGCCTTTGCCTGGGAAAATAAGAAGTAGAATTAACAGCTGGCTGTTTTGTTTTTTCCTTAAACTTGTGTTTGTGTTGTCATACGTGTTCTGTCTCAGGTTCAAACTGCACCATATTTTCATTAAATACATTTGGGACGTTGAGAATGTTCCTTGATTTGGGTCGCGGCTTGTCATTAAGGGGTGATGGTGGGTCCTGGAGCCAGACCAGTTGAGATCCACTGCTCTAACGGACAGGTCCTTTTACCACGATGTACCCAGGGGCCAAAGTAAAGTTTGAGACAATCCCAAACATTTTAGTGCAGAGAAAAAATACTCCGGAAAACATCAAATGTGTATTGAGCGATAGTTGGACATAATTCACCAGAAACGGGTGTTCAGCTGTTTGAAGAAATGAACTATTGTGAATGACATTCATGACTCCAAACATGGGGAGTCATGAAGCCATTGGTTGGTTTTGGTCTTTTCTATCTGGCCATGTGGTTTGAAAGCTCTTTTGTTTTTGCTTTCATTGCAGATTTTAAATGCCCTGACATGTGAGGTTCTAGAGCATCAGGGAAGTTTCCGGACCCCCTCAGACCAGATCCAGTACATCGCTGAGACCTTTAAAGACCGTGAGTGTGTCCGTCAAGGGTCTCTGCCTTAAGCTTGTGTTTCAGTGCTTCCTTTTTACAATTGAAGAATGTCCTCACAGGCCCGGATCTCCACGTGTACCTGCTGATCTACAACATCGACGGACCAATGCTGCGAGCAGAGAAGACCCAGAGTGCACTGGGGCAGCTGGCGTCGCTGCCCAACCTGCACTTGGTGGCGTCGTTAGACCACATTAACGCTCCGATGGGTGAGTTGGTGTGTGTGTGACTGCACTGCCACGTTGATTGTGTTGAAAGATGTTCTTGTAGCTGAATGGTACCGCTCTGTGGCCAGTGTGGGACCAGTTTAAGCAGAGCCAGTTTAACTGGTTGTGGTGGGAGTGCGTGACTTTCCAGCACTACACGGAGGAAACGTCTTACGAAAACTCTCTGCTGGTGCAGCAGACCGGCGCGCTCGCTCTGTCCTCCCTTACTCACGTGCTACGCAGCTTGACTTCCAACGCAAGGTACCACGCACACCTCGATGCGAGTATCCGTCGTGCATTCATGCATTACTTAAGTGCTTCATGGCTCTGTGTATCTTTTCAGAGGAATTTTCCAACTGTTGGTTAAATTTCAGCTGGAAAACAAAGATAACCCTTCATACACAGGTACAACGTAACCGTTCAGAATGCGGTTGTCTTTTCCTAACGATGTGTATCTTTATGCTTTGTGATTGTAACAGTTTCTCTTTTGTGCAGGATTGTCATTCCAAGATTTCTACCAGCGATGTCGAGAGGCGTTCTTGGTGAACTCTGACCTCACACTGAGGACTCAGCTGACTGAGTTCAGAGACCACAAACTGATCAGGACCCGGAAGGTGGAGTCCTGTTTCCTTTCACTGCACTTGGACCGTCATTCTGTGGCAACGCCCCGCGGACTCCACTGGTTGGTCGCTTAACGGTTATTCCCATGATTCCCCAGGGTGCGGACGGAGTGGAGTACTTGGTCATTGCTGTGGATGCAAGCACTTTGATGGACTTCCTGGAGAACGAAGCGGGCAACTGAGACTTGTACTGCTCGCACTTGGTCCACTAACAGCCAGCTGAGGCGACTGGTTGAATCGGTCACTGCTCTTAACGGCCGGTGACCTCTGAAGATGAAGACAGGCACCGCACAATTTTGAATAAATGGTTTGAACTATAACTAGTGGTCAAATGTTTTCACCTGTGAAATCCCCCACTAGTGCTCTGTGACATTTGCATTTTGTCTTTTGATGTACAGTATGCATATATTAAATAAACCCCTGTGGAATCAAAACACTTGGGAGTAAATTAGTTAATGCAATTTCATCTCTTTACTTACATAAATAGATTTACATTAGGCAAAGGGTACATTTTTATTTGTACAAGGCAGGTAGGTGTGCTGCTAATGTAAAAAAAAGAACAGCTGGAGAATTTGTTCAGCTCTCCTCCACATGTGGAAACAGTGTAACAGAGAGAGAGAGAGCGGTCGGTGAAGCTACGTCACATGCGTGCTGCAGTTGCAAAGTCACGGGAGACGTTTGGAGCGCATGCAATGAAATGCTTCAGTGTTGGACGTCGACAGCTTTCTGTGTCTGACGTGAGTCTGTCAGCACTTGGTCCAGCGTGTAAGTCTGCAGTCGGTTCTGAGTGGCCGTGTGTACGATGTGAAGCTCCTCTTCATCCAAGTCCTTCAGCAGCAGCAAAACGGCGTCAACAGTGTGCGTCTGCAAATACAGTTTCCGTGTTCATTTATTATCGGAGATGAATAAAATAAGAAATATTTCACATTTAAGTTGTATTCTTTTGTTTTTTGTTCATGGAAGCACAGTTCAGATATACGAGGATACCTTCTTCAATGTTGCTTTGTTTTCTCTAGTTGCTGGTGAAGAAAGAGAGGGAAACTTGTCTCTGGAGAGGAGTTTCATGCCCAACTCTTCTCTGATTTTGCTGAAAACAAATTCCGATAGAAACGTTTTGTTAATGTTATTACCAGGAGGGATTCCTGTTGAGCCAATACATGCTCCACCTGCATGCTTACTTGGTCTCCTCCATGTTGTAGTTAAGAGGATCGTTCTCCATCTCTGCATCTGCCAGTCCGTTGGAGGAGAGCTGGTTTTGGACGCTGCCTGGGGGGGTGGTGACCGCTTTGCCCTCCATGAGAGCGAGAGCAAGCTCATCCTCTGTCACTGCTGTAAACAGACAGTACAAAACTATTACAATCATTTCCAACCCCATCACAGATATGATGTCTCGAGTCGCACCACAGCTACAGTATATAGAGTTCGGCTTTCCCCCAAGTCTTGGTGCAAATAATTTATCACTCAGTCATGCGCACTCCACGCGATCACCTTGGTTGTCGAGCTTCTGGAGGCGAGGCAGGCAGCGCAGCACGGTGAGGCGATACTGGTTGCAGTCGGTTCCGCAACACGGGTTCTCAGCCAGCCAGAGAACCCTGAGACGCGTCAATGGACGCAGATATGAGAGCTCAGAGAGGGAGGGGATCTTGTTCCTCCTTAGGTAGAGCTCGCATAGGGACAGACAGCCGGCCAGAGGAGAGAGAGATGAGATGCTGTTGACACTACGGAGAAAGAAATGGGATAACGCCACAGCCAAAATGATGGGGTCATATGTGAATGTGTCAGAGACACGGCCAATACGAAGAGACCAACCTAAGGGTCAGCACCTCAATGTTGGCCATTTGGGAGAAGATAGAAATCTGGAAAGTTTAGAGGGACACTTGTATTATTACAAAGGGTGCATAACTACATGCGTTCAAACTTAATTTACTTAATAAACAAGTCAATTTGAACCAAATAATGATCTCCATTAGCTGACTACTCACATCAGCCAGGTTGCATCCCCTGCAGAAAAATGCATGTAACGTTATCACAAAGGCAAGGTACGCGTGACAAGCTCTGCCTGTCGGTCAGGACCATCAGCATGTCACGTTAAACCAAACACCACCAGAAATGTCTGGTAACTGCTAACTGGTAAGCTGAAATAGAATCACTCACCAGCAGTTCAGTTTCTTCACGCTCTCTAAGTCGGAGGCCTTAGCCTTCGCAAGAACCTGTTTCCGTGTTAGCTTCATAGCATATCAACTAACGTAGCTGCCAAGAACGAGTATGTGTATTAAACTATATCTTTACAAACAACAAAGCCCCCATTGTGACAGGCTAAGTGGACAAACATTTTAACTCCGCAACAAGGATGCTGTTTCCGCCACATGACTACGCATGCGCGCATCGACTGTGGCGTCCGTAGTTACAAACGTTTCCTTCCTTATTATTCCGTACGTTTTGTTAAAAAATTCTAAATCAATACAACTACTCTGCCATAGTCACTAGTGTTTGATAATATTCACAAGAGTAATGTTACGAGTATGTACTACGACCAAAACTGCAACAACTCAAAGTCCCACAATGCAGCGTAAACGACAGCGTAAATCGCGCATGCGCCCTGAGCAATCCCTCTTTGGACCTCCGTCTCCACTGAAACGATGGTGAGCCCCTAACCTCCCTTTCAAAATCCGTGTCAATCTAACAATTCCTGTACCCTAACTGTCGGAATCACACATTTGGCGTCCCTGTGATGTCGATACCTGCCACGCCTGACCGTTATTTGTATTATTTGTTGGTCGTTTCTATGATTAAAACGATGTTTTCATGCCGCAGTGAGATAGAAATGGCGTACGCCATTGCTACAAGTTTCCCAGTGACACCGAGTCTTCAGCGGCTGGTTCTAATAGCTCGCTGTCGGCCGCGAAATCCAATATTCCGTCAATTGAGGACTAGTGGTTGTAGGTCAAATAAAATGACTCCTTTCAAGTTGCATTATAGTTTTGCGCCTTAAACCCCGACTGGTTTGACTTGAAGTAAAGTTGGCTAACGCCCGGCGGCTAGCTTGATGTGAGGAGGCTAATGGATGCTAACGTTAGCTGGTTAACCGCCGGCGACAGAATCTCTTCCAGCCGGGTTCAATTGACTATCTAGTTAAATGAAGTCAAATGTTGATCTGAAAAGGGAAACATTTGGTTTGCAATTTATTTCCCGACAACCCGACTGTCTGCACGGGGTTATAACATGTTAAATGACACAACTTTTAGCGCTCCCGGTGTCACTGGCGTCAACATCGTTAACTTACTGCTCGTTTAGTGGCGGGCGCGTCAGTTGTTTTCAACCCGTTCATCATACGTCTTAACTCATTCTACACCTGCTTTAAAGCCTCTGACCTTTTTATTGTGGGTTTGTGTTCACAGGCCAAGCGTACCAAGAAGGTGGGGATCGTTGGTAAATATGGCACGCGTTATGGCGCGTCGCTGAGGAAGATGGTGAAGAAAATTGAAATCTCCCAGCACGCTAAATACACCTGCTCTTTCTGTGGCAAGGTAAGCACTAAACACCAAGTCATTCAGTGTGCCTCATCTGGTTGAGTACTTTATACCAGGGATGCCAGAGTTTTGCTGTTGTGTCGGGGAAACAAATGCAATATGTGTTTTTTTGTATCTGTATTAATGTTGAATCTGTGTTTACAGACAAAGATGAAGAGGAGGGCTGTAGGTATCTGGCACTGTGGTTCCTGCAGGAAGACTGTGGCCGGAGGCGCCTGGACTTACAAGTAGGCTACTTTTTTTGCTTTGCTGCATTTCTATCACCAAGCAGTAATCTGACAGCATGTGTCCACCCAGACGGAGGTTACTGCCACAGAGGCTTTCCTACCTGTTAAATGACTTTATATGGAGGCCGTCTTCTTGGACCAAGGCCACGGGTTACACCAACAACTGTCCCGTTTGGCCACCAGCATTGTGTAGTTCTACACAACATGAGATTCAATGTGGCTTTTATTCTTTAACAGTAAAGCTCTGATGCTGATCTGTGGTGTATATACATGTTATCTATACATGGTTTGCTTGTTTGTGCAGTAAATCAGTTGAGCAATATTGATTGGATAGCAATAGACAATAGCTGTGATTGGGCATTTCAATGGAGACCGTTTGAGTGCCCAATCATAGCATTGTTCAACACACCGTACATTACATGTCATTTAGCTGATACTTTTATCATCATCATTTCAACCATAAGGATACAAACTTAAAAGAACAAAGTGCAATTTCATTAAATAAGCTGATATACAACTTGCTATAGATCGGTGAATTATACTTATAATGGCGCTTATCACCTAAATTGTTTTTCTCCCCTTAAATTTCGCTAGCTTTTTTTGTTCCTTGTACAGGACCCTAATTAATCTAAAAGTGAAAAATATTGGCCGTGCCGAACAAAAGTATTTAGGAACGATCGGCTGGCTTTGCCAAACATGACACCACTCATATTTTTGCATTGTACACTTTCAGTGATCCACAAAGGGACTCAAGTGCTGTCAAATGAAGTATGGGGGGCTACTTGAATTTGGACAGCTATTTTCATTCATGGATTTTACAAATGTTTCTAAAGGAGATTTAGGTTTTATGAATAATGGAAAGATTAACCTAAAAAAAAAAAAAAGTATTTATTTTATTTTTTTGTCTTTTCCAGCACAACTTCCGCTGTCACAGTCAAGTCTGCGATCAGGAGGCTGAAGGAGTTGAAGGACCAGTAAACCAGTGAAATGGTCACCGGTGGATTTGGGACTTTTTCTATAATTTAACCGACCTGGACATGGCCACAACATCTACAAATAAATCTGGAGCGGAATTCTTTGTCTTTTGTATGTTTTTTTTATAATTGTAGCAGGGAAATCCAAACTTATGGGCGCTAAGTATAGATGCGTGGTGAGAGTTCAGGGTGCTAATAAAGTGCAATTCAAAGCGGTTAAACCTTTTTTATTGATTAGCCCCGTAGCTGTTTTTATTTTCAAAAAGAAAGGGAAGCAAATTTAGCAGCATCTTGCACATTTTAGCAGCATTTGGCTTGTGCCATTATTTTTGGTTTAAGGAACCTCGGTTTTCCTTTTTCAAGCCACTGCTTTGCCCAGAGTTTGTGTGTGTGTATACTTAGTGATTCATATAAATATTAGTCACCAAGGCAACGAGAAGTTAGCTAGTCATAGTCAAATGATACCCGCGCTGATATTAAAGTTTTCTGAGACTTGCTGCAAATATTTTCGACGTAATCAGAACAGAAGTAATATGCTAATTTAGCAACGGCTGCATTCAACATGTGTAATACCTGACCTGTGGTGCAAAGCTTCAGTGTCCCTCAAGTGCAGCTGGGATTGCACTCCGTAAACGCTGAATCAAAAAGAAACCATACAAAAGTGTTAGATCCAAATATTACATTACCTGTCATTTAGCGGACGCTTTTATCCAAAGCGACGTACAATAAGTGCATTCAACCATAGGGTACAAACTCAGGAGAACAAGAAACAAGAAAGTGCAATTTCCTCAAATAAGCCAATTTGCTATAGATGAGTGACGTTACAAGTACAATTTAAGTGCTACAATTTGTTAGTCTTTAGTCGAGGTAGAGTCTGAAGAGAAATATTAGATGAAAATGTTGTATTGTTGGTGTACGTGGTCATCATGGTCACTTAAATTTTTTTTTTATCAGCACAGGTGTGAATAAAATTAGATTAAAAGTTATTGCAGAAAGACAACTTGTAAACCTTTTGAATTAAAACGCCTACAATTAAAAAGGATTTTCAAAATAACCTTCCACATACAATTGATAAGAAAAATACATTTAAATCCCTGAATACCTTGTTGGAAAACTATATATATTGCATGAAACGAAAGTGTGACTTGTGGTGGAAATGACTAATTAATCAAAAAAGTTCAGGAGAAATGAAAGACGTGAACATCTGCAGCTGCGTTCCAATAAACCGAGTTAAGGGCGCGTTCCTGAAGACGGCAGCATTGAAACAGGCGACGTCGTCCCGCCTGATGTCCAGCAGGAGGCGCTGCGACGCGCGCCCCCTCTTCTCCTCGGTCGGGCTGACAAACAAGTATGGCGGCGTCCAGTGTCTTCAGACCGGGGCTCTTCAAGCACAAAGTGGCGATAGTCACGGGCGGCGGCACCGGGATCGGTAAAGCCATCTCTGCAGAGCTGCTGGAGCTCGGTGAGTGACGCGGCGTTCAGGGACAGGAGACACGTTGGGAGACACGTTGGGAGACAGTTTGAAGCGAACGACAGCGAGAGCCGAGTGAACTTTGACACAGATACAAGAAGACACGAGCAGACTGTGTTTGTTCACCGCTGGCTGCTGTGTGTTTAATACAGATGTGATCTACACTGTCTTGTGATATGGCAGAAATGTCCTGGGTCACATAACGTGGTGCAACAGGGAAATCAGTAACTGAATAAATACAGAATCATAATGTGTTGGTCTGACACGGCAACAAAAAGGTCAAGAGTCCGAAAGGTTTCCTCTCAATGTCATTCACTGGACCACCTTCATTCGAGCAAAACGATGATCACACATGTTGCATCTCCAAGTGAACAGACTTTTATTGGCCAACGTCCTCGTCCCCAGGTTGCAACGTTGTGATCTCCAGCAGAAAGGCAGAGAGGTTGGAGGCTGCAGCTCAGGAGATGAGTCAAACCATCCCGGCCTCCAGCTCGGCGAGTGTCACCGCTCTCGCGTGTAACATCCGGAACCAGGACGAGGTAGAGCCGCGCGCCCCTCCCGCCTCTGTGAGGACCCCATGCTGATGTCGTCAGGACCTCACCGCCTGCTTTTGTTCCCCCCGCCGCAGGTGAAGGAGCTCGTGTCGTGCGTGCTGAAGCGGTACGGGAGGATCGACTTTCTGGTGAACAACGGAGGAGGTCAGTTCAGCAGCCCGGCGGAAAACATGTCCTCCAAAGGCTGGAAAGCTGTGATAGACACCAACCTGACCGGAACGTTCCACTGCTGCCAAGAGGGTGAGACGCAGACAGCTGACTGTGTGTGTGTTTATAAAAGCTGCGTGTGTGACCGTGCTGCTGCTCCGTCCTCACAGTCTACTCCGCATGGATGAAACGGCGAGGAGGCGTGATCGTCAACATCATCGCTGACATGTGGAAGGGCTTCCCCGGCATGGCGTAAGCAGCACCGCCCGCCGACTCCGCAACACACCAACGTAGAAACGCTCCACGTCTCCTTTTCCCTTACAGCCACACCGGGGCAGCGAGGGCAGCCGTGGACAACTTGACCAAGAGTCTGGCCATCGAGTGGGCCGCCGCGGGGGTCCGGGTGAACTCCGTTGCACCTGTGAGTACGGGTCGGGAGCCGCCGCGCTACAAGGCAACGGCATCAGAATTCATTCATTACTCAAGCAGAAGTATAGATACGAGGGGTTAAAAAGACTTCTGCAGAAGTTGAGTATCAACTCAAGCTTTTACCCTTGAGTTGATACTTTTAAGTAAAAGTATAAAAGTACTGGTTTTTTGAACGATAAAGTAACAAGGCTGTTTTTAAAATGTGACGAGTACAAAGTGCAGATATTTGCGTGAAAATAAGGAGTAAGTAAAAAGTTGTGTGAAAAATAAATACTCCAGTAAAGTATAGATACCCAGTATTTGTACTTCGTTACTTGACACCTCTGGTACACGGGAGGGACGGTCTTTTTAATTATGCAGTCATGTCCAATCCGTGCGTTTGTCCTGTTGCAGGGAACGATCTTTTCCAAGACCGCAATGGAGAACTACAAGGACCTCGGACCAAACCTCTTCAAGATGTCTGTTCCGTTCAGCCCCGCTAAGAGGCTGGGAGTACCTGAGGAGGTGTGTAACTAGGAAGCCACAACGCCCACAGAGGAGGCTGTGACAGTCAGAGGAGCTTCGTTCATGCATTGCAGTGTCCTTGGGAGTAATACGTAGGCGGAACAATTTTCAAAATACCAGTTGGTTATGAATGATGTATTGAAGTGCTTGATCCCCGATCGTGCTGATCCGGCTTTCATTAGTGAAAGTTAACGGAGAAACATCCGTTTAATTGTCTAATATATTGTCTGATATTTGCGGGAGGTCAATCTGAACTGTGATATTCCAAAAAAAACCATTTATACAACAAAGTTCCATATCAAAAGATGTGAGATATTTTCCCCACTTTGCAAAAATGAGTCAGGCTGCATTAAAATGGTCATGTTAACGGTTCACACATGATGGTTGAGGGCAATAGATACAGAACATGTGCTGTGTGTCTGGCCTTGTTGCACAATGCAGCGATTTCTTTAGTCCAAAACAATAATTGTGATTTGATGTTCAGATCTCATCAGCAGTGTGTTTCCTGCTCTCTCCTGCCGCCTCCTACATCTCCGGCGCCACCCTGAGGGTGGATGCAGGGCAGAGTCTGTACCACTCCATGTGGGAGATACCCAGTACGTTTGTCTAGTCAAAGCATGCACACTTTGGTGTCTGCGTTCTACACAGTATAAACTACACAGCGTACATTTAGTGTACTGAACTCTCCAGTGTTTTCTCATCTTTTCCAGACCACAGCGCATGGCCAGAGGCTCCAGAGGGGGAGAACCTGGACGCTCTGAATGACCTGCTCAACCCAAAAAGCAAACTCTAGACTCCGTTCTGAGGCCGGTGTATAAACACACACACTTGGCCAACTAGCGCTTTCAAAGAAACAAGGCACCACGGCGGCCTGTTAATAAGACTGTGTGACGTATTATTGCAGATCATGTACATAATTGGACGTAATTATTAGCAACAAGTATGTCTGATTAGTTTTATGAATTAATTGTGTAATGAGCTGTTGAATTGTATGTAGAATTTTTTCCCATGCATTTGTAAATTGGTATGGTGTGTTTGACGTGTTAAATGGACACAAAAGAGAAAAACAAGCGAAATAAATGAAGGTAACACTTTTCTTTTCTAAATTTCACTGATTTAGTACCTCTTTTTCAAATGCAGGAGCTACAATGTTGACAGCAACATGACCCTTACTTTTTGACCTGGACTTTGCTCCTAAGCTGATTAAATTAGAAAAGCTGCCCTTTTTTTGCAGTTACCTGATCGTGTCACTTTCTGTTGCTTTAGAAAGATTTGTTGTGTAGAAAATGTTTTGATGAACATTGTTACTTTAATATGTAAATGTGTGATTTTCTCCTTTTCTATAGCATTTTTAAGTAAAGATTACATTGTTTTAAATGACAAATCTGGATAAAAAACGTGTTTTTAATAATTATCTTTGAACTATTAAAATAATCTACCAGCAGGTTACCTTTCACAAATATACAAGCGACATATATTACATTATACGATTACAACAACTCATACATGCACATTTGTACCAGTTTCCAACATTATAGAGACGCTCTGGTATTTTGTCCTCACTGCTTGCCGTAGTGTTGCCGTAAATTAAGGTAACTGTCGCAAACCCTTAGGCCAACAACAGAGGTCAGAACGAGCCACTCAGGTACAGTTTTTCCTTTAGAAACAGTTTTACATTTGTATCGCATGTTCTGTAGCTGTTGTCCAGTGGCCGAATAAACGATCTTAACCGCTAATGAAGAAGTAAATAACGTGTCTACGGTTAAATGCTGTAATTCTTTCTAGCGAGACAATGTAACGTTACGTTAGCTAACGTTAAGTTTAACCTACATTCGGTCCACAGCGGTTTAACTTCTTCAGTTAATCAGTTAAGATCTACGAAAAGTCCTCTATTTAATGTATGTGTGCGTCGTAGCTAATCAATGACCATTGAATGGATTCAGATAACCAGCCATTGATGACGTAACCTCCGGCTTTAACGTTGATTAACAACGTTAAACACGTTGTTTAACATCTCTAACGTCAGCATGGCGCAATTTGCTTCTACGCATATTTATTATTAAAGCACATAGAACGTTAACAAAACTGGCTAAATATGCTTAATTGTGCCAGTGTTGGATTAGTTAACGGTGTTGTGGTCCATAGTTTAACGATAATAAAACGAACAACGGGGGAAACGGTTGAATGAAACGTGACACTTTTATTATAGAAGAATACTTTGCTGCCCTCAGATGATACGATTCTCACATTCACAGGTCTCATGCACCTGCTTGTACAACAAAGATTGAAATGCACGATGAAGTTTTTTTAGATGTTTATGGATGATAAGATTAATACATTTCCATAGCAGAAATGAACTGCAGCTTTGACCCTTTACATTCAAATACATTTGAAAGTTACATGTTCATTCCTGAACAAAAACAAAAGTAGAAACTCATTTCCACTTGAACATCGGAGGTAATTATGTTGACACCTGGATTGAAAGGTCATCCTAATATGAGGGAGGTCATCCTGTTTTCAGCATGGGAGGTGACCACGGCCACAACAAGATGTCCATGCCGGACTGGCGGCAGTGGAAGGTGGAGGGAACGCCGATGGAGTTCACAAAGCAGCGGCTGGCAGCCAGAGGCCTCAAGGATCCGTGGGCCCGGTCAGTGGTTCTATCTACACCAGACCATGCTGATATTTAAGTCATTCTTATTCCTGACTTCCTCTCTGCAGCAACGAGACGTGGAGATACTCCGGAGGCTTCGCCCGCGCTGTGACTCTGTCGGATGTGCTGCTGAAAGGCTTCAAGTGGGGCTTTGCAGCCTTTACCGTCGCTCTGGCGGTCGAGTACGCCCTGTTTCCACCCAAGAAGGGGGGTCACTAATGCTCGTCCCAGAGTATAATAATATCCTGTATTTCTGCTCATTAAATGTTTCTGTGATTTCCCCCCATTGTTTCCCTTATTCTGTGTACATCCTGTTGCATCTCTAAACCGCAACCAACTTAAATTTGCACGACGACCATGGGAGGTTAAAATGTGGCACCGGGTCATTCCTGCTTCCTCTTCCTGCCCACTTTCCTGATGAATAGTTTCAAGCATTTTACCAACAGTATTACAAAAACCAGCACTACAGTAGCCAGCAGTGCGATCACATCCAGGCTGAAGTACTGGAGCACGTTGAGGCCGCGTCCAGCCCATCTGAGATGCTTCGCCCCTTTGTGCCGCATCACATGCTCTGTCCAGTACACCGAGAGGTCGAGTGGGTCAACTGGCCGGTCTTTATGGAGAGCCGACAGCTTCTTCATGTTCTCTTTATACCTGGATACAAATAGATTGGTGGCAACAGTTTAAGAATACAACATTTGAAGCAAAGTACTTTAAATGGCTGATTTCAATTATTCTGTTTTTACTTTGATCATCATCAACAAAGACCTGAGGAACTTCGTGAGATAAGTGACCTTCTGACCCCCTGACCTTGTGTCGTTGATGACCGCGTTGAGTCCCTGAAGAAGGCTTTCTGTAGAGATGGTCGTAATATCCAGCACCAGTCCAGCGTTTCTACTTGCCAACCTCTCCGCGTTGTCAGGCTGGTCCCCCCCGAGTGGCATCATCAGCATGGGGACAGCATGACACAGACCCTCAAAGAGACCGTGCGAGCCAGCGTGCGTGATGAAGGCCCGAGCTCCAGAATGTGCTGTTGCACCACGCACAAAAAGATGTCAGATGCTGCGGCATGTGTCTCCTCTTCACATCAATGGTTTTGCATTTTTTAGAATGTGATGCAGTGGATTTACAAACCTAAAAGGTCATTCTGAGGCACCCAGGTCATAAACTTCACATTTTCCGGGACCCTGTCAGGAACCTTTCCAGTGTACCTCCATATTACCTACCAAAGGGCATCATTGACATTGATGTTTCATTTAAAATCGAGTTTTAAATCTGTTCATATGTGTTCCTGTACCTTCTGTGGAATCTGCCGGAAGGCTTCTAGTAAGACAGAGGTTATCTCCTCTGGCAGGTCTGACACCATGGTGCCCAGAGTGAACACTACAAACCCATGTTCCCCTGACAGCCAGGACTCCAGATCCTACACACACACAGGGTCTCTTTATACATCTACTGGATCTCTCTGCATTAAAAGAAGCCAGATCAAATACGGAGGATATAAAAAAAAGCCATCTTGTAGTTGGTAATTAAAAACACAAAGTATTACCTCAGGCAGAGGATTTCTCACGTTGCAATTGATTCCGCCAACTAGCACCACGTTTGGCATGATGGGCCGGGGGAACTCCAGTGTGAAGTCCATCCTGTTCAAACACAGTATCCAATATGGATCGCAATTTAAGATGGGTTTTGCTTCAATGTGGTTTAGTGGAATTAAACAACAGAATGTGAATTATATCCCTCCTTTTTTATTAGTGTTTAAGTGTGTGTGTGTGTGTGTGTGTGTAAGCACTTAAACATAGAACACTCTTCGTCATTATGTATTCTCCTAAATATCAATATAGGACCTTTGTTACCTCAGAAGCCAGATGGCAGACTCTGACAGAACCTCAGCCACACCAACCTCTTCTCCCAGGAACCGATAGGCTATTTGATCAAAGTACCAGTACATCAGTCGGCATAGCAGCGGCTCCAGTAAAGCCACCTGTGGGTCAGAGGTACCGCAGGGCAATAAACAAATGTACATAGTCCGTTTGTGTCGTTAAGCCGTCCAAGATCAACAACGTAATCTTACACTAAGTTACGTTACTGTAGGGTAAAGTGTAGGAGGACAGACACTAAGGTCTTCAGAAGCCAAAGGTTCCATTTAACATGACTAGTGTTGTGATTGGATGTCAGCAGTGCATTGCATTCAGCATGCAATGGGGGGGTCGATGGTGGAATGTGGAGTAGGGCGTCCCACTGCAAACATCTCAAAATTACCAGGATATTTCTGTAGAATAATTGAAATAAAAAGTACTTGTGTTTTGTATGTCTGAGAACACGGCCACCCTTGTTCATGCTCATCCAGCTGAACCTGCTCACCAAAGTGTTGACGGTTCTCTCCTTGAAGTTCATTACATGCGAGTATTTGGTGAGGAATCGGGGCACATAAGAAGGTGGAGAGGGGCAGCCTGCAGACTTCATATCCAAGGAACATGGGATTCCCCGCAGTAAGTTTATGGTTGGGAGACCTGAAAACAATTTTACATGACTGATGAGAAAATGAGGAGACATATAAGAGCCCAAGTAATCCAAGTGTAGCAGTGCTCACCTAATTTCCGAGCTATTAACGAGCCTGAGGGAATCATGGGGTCTGTGAGGACGGCATCAAAGTTCTACGATGGTGCAGAATGATACACAAGGGAAAGGAGTCAATCGTCATCTGCATGCACCAATAAAGCACATTTCCTTCTGCTCAATCAAGTCCTGTGCAGATTCTACAGAAGAGCAGAATCATGCTGATGACACATACACATCATCTTCGTCTCAGCGGTGGATAGTAAGTAGGTGTACTTTACTTTATCTCAGACAAAGGGCTGGAGATTAAGATTTTGCAGCATGGTAGATATACTGAAACAGTGATTTTTCGCTGTGACCCCTTGATAAAGTCTAGTGGCGGCTGTATGCCATCCTTTAGATATGAATAGTTTGTGTCATTTTCCTTCTAACCATCTCTTGGTTTCATTTGAATAACGATTGAAGCTCCATAATGTACCCAAAATGTGTATTTCTTCCCCCATTAATATCATATGAACCACCAGATTCATGTGGGAGCAGGAACTGGTCCTTCACAAAGGCCCTGACCCTCAGGTTGGGAACCACTGGCCTACAATACCTAATTGAATATAAATAAATTAAGCCCCCCCCAACCAGCTTAGACAGAACATGCTTCTCAGTATAGCCTATAATAGAATAACAATAATAGAATAACAGTATAGCCTATAATACAATAGTAGTATAGTCTAATAATGACAAATTCCTTGTATGTTTGGCATATTTTGGTAATAAATGTTTCCTGATTCCTGACATATATTGTAATATGTCAGTAACAAGGGGCGGCTTTCTTTCTGCCCTTTAACACTTTGAATTTTTTTTTCATGTTTTCTGTTTTTATATATTTTTACTTTCACATAAGTAAAGAATGCAAATACTTATTCTGTCATAATGTTAATAGTTACAGCTGTTGTACACAATGACACAAACTCTACACTTACAAAACAGACGCAGTCTAAACCAAAGCCACACAATTGTCTCCGTGGCTATTGAGTTTTATTTGATTATGCTTTGTGATGTCATGTTAAACCTCTGTATTTGCACTCACCTGCTGTGCCAGATGTGAGATCAGACTGTCATTGAAGAGTAGGCTCTCTGCCGTGGTGTGGATGAACCCTGTAATTCTCATTATTTGAGAATATTTCGCCTTTATATTCTGGATGAAAGACTGTGTCGATTTTCTCAGCACGTCCTTGTGTACAGCCATGACAAAGTCCAGATGTGCTTTGTCATAAGGAACAGGAAAAGTCACAGTTTCGTAGTGTTTCCCTGGTCCCATCCGTACGCTGATCTCTGGAATCACCACGGTAACCTTGTGTCCACGGCGACCCATTTCTTCCGCAATTGCCTTTATACCCACCCAGTGACTGCCATCCATGGGAACCACCAACAAGTTGCCCAGGAAGCCCGCTGGAGCAGTGTCACTTGCAGGGATCGTGTTGGCGGCTTCAGCCTCTGCTGCCTTCAGCTTCGTCTCCGGCCCGGGGCCTCCTGCCACAGACCCCCCCGCCTCACCTGCAGCGCCATTCACCTGCATGTCCATGTTCAGCAGCAGCAGCAGCACAGACACTGCTGCTTTCCACATTGTTCTCTTCCCTCGGTGTCTGCAACCTACTGAAACCGACACAGGACGGAATGTTAGGCAATGTAAGAAAAAGAAAACGCCCCTTTCCGCCTCCCCCCTCCTTTTTGAATGCTTGTGTAACCCCCCCCCCCCCCCTTTAGGTACCCTTATCTGGGGAGACATTCCACTGTGATTTAGCGTAGTTATGTGTGTTCAATGCTCTCAACTCGGCGACAATAACAGTCCTCAAGACTTTGTACTCAGAGGCAATTAGTACGTAGCTTTCAGTGATCTGGTCACCGTATAATGGGATTTATTGCTCGGGCTCAAAAGAAAGAACCCAAACACAAGCGGCACAGCAGCTGGGGGACTGGGGAAGAGTTCAGTGGAGGAAAGAGTGGGGCTTTTCACACCCACGGGTATATGGCCATGTGGCTGTAGGTCTACAATGAACACGATGAACACGTTGAACAATAAAGTTGTTCTTAAAAAAAGGGTTAGTGAACTTTGGACCTCTTTTTTTATTTTTTTTATTTTCCCACAGCGGGTCCACTGCAATAATTCCATTGTTTACTACTTCTGGCAGTAAACAGGAATGTCCTTTCAAATTTATTGAGAAGCTTTGTCTCTGCATGTGGAATCAATATTATTTCTATCTGTAAAATGTTAAACACATTTAAAAAGAGCATTTCAAGTAGCCGACTGTACCGTTTAAGACAATCATCCTTTTCACAAAATATGGCTTGCTTGAGACATGTAGTTCCTAAAAAACATTTTAAATAGAAGTCAGGGAGTAAACAGCACCTACGCCAATCAAGATTCCTGATCCGGTTGGTCAAAACATGTCAAGACAGCGGTCGGAGGATCTGTATTTTGATCACTTGGAAACTTACAGAACAACATCTCTGTCTTGCATTATAGATAACTTTGTCCTATTTTCTACAGGGGTCATGTGTCAAAATAAAATTGCCAATAGGTACAAAAAGTGCAAGTTCGCGCTCTATTGGCCGAATCCAGTGCACACTTTTCTAAGTCCTGAAACACAGGCTACGTAAGAGGGCGTGTAGGCTGCGGCTCCGCAGTCCGGCCAGCAGGTGGCGGTAATGCCGCGCTAAGCCTGAGTGCGCCGCGCCCCCCGAGCACCACAGAACAACCACCACTTCCGGTTTGTTCTCCACCGCGCGCATCTTCAAGTGTGTCGCCCTCGCGCTCAACAGGTCGACAGACGAAGCCCGCGAGCTCGTTGCGGAAGCGCCTCGCTGTTTCGCGCTGTAGCGCTAGATGCCGGTAAAATAGTTTAGTAACATGTCAAGTCACGTAAACTATGAACGATTTGAGGAACAGTAAGTGCCAACGTCACAACTGCTGACGTCCTCCCTGGAAACCTGCTGGGTTGTTTGGGGGAGACAACGTGGCGTTAGCTAGCTGAGATGCTAACGCGTCGCAGAAGAACAGTAAAGTGTTTAACGCGTTCAGGGGAGAATAACAGAGAGAGATCATGTCATGTGATGAGCAGTGCGTCTGTAACGGTCCACAGGTCCTGTGTGACGTAGCACACAAGGCTGCACAGATTATAAAGCCCAGTCAGGCAAACTTGTGATATTAGGCTTATAAATGGAATCGATCCGACAATTGAGATGAGGCCAGAACAGGCAGACAGAATTGCCTTTGTGATTGTTTTCCTTCCACCGTTTAGATTGTTGAAAGTGGTTTGATGTCTCTGTAGGCTGACGGATGACGAGTATGAGGCCGAGGCCTTGGAGTCATTCACTTATTCATCGACTGTAAAAGTTGAATATTACAGGTAAGACGACAAGACCACTTTCTAAAACGCTCTCACTTGAATTGTGAAATAAGATGCAGCTTTGTGATCACGCCATAATCTACTAGTCGCTCTCTGTTATAGGTTGTTTGAGTATTCTGTGACGTGGAACCAACCCATGTCTCCCAAACGCTCCTCCAGACAACCAAAGTCTTCCAAGAAGAGTCCCCAGAGAAGTCCCAGTCCAAATGAAGAAGTCTTTCAGCGCAGGTGGAGGGTGAAGAGACCGAGGACCCGACTGAGGGAGACGGATGCTGATGAGAGGAAGGACCTCGACATCATAGACATCATCAACAGGTCGACTGAGGCGAGGCGTGTCGCAGAGGAGGAAGACGTACCGGTTGTTGAGGCGACGAATGACGAGGACTGTGACTCCGTCAGCAGCAGCGTCGCCTCCGGTCCGTCTCTCCTACACAGCAGGGTCTCGCACAAGAAAGTGAGGCCTTCACAGGGCTTGTGTTCAGCTTGTAAGACTCTCTATCAGAAGACAGCCAAGAAGAAGGCCCCACTTAAAAAGCAGCTCTTGGACAACAGTGAGTCTTCACTCATTCTTCATTCTGTGCACCGGATCATGCTAACATGTTCAACCTCTCTCTCTGGTGGGGTCTGCAGATCCCGAGTCCCTAACATGTGACCAGTGGGTCCTGGTCAAGAGCTGGAGACCGAGGAGGCTGCTCAATGTGAGAGGGTAAGGCCGGTTACGTGGTGAGTGTGTGGTAACTAGCTGTAAGGTGGAACGCCGGTGAGCATGGCGGTGGATACGCTGTCACCTCTTTAAAACCACCTCTCTGTTTCATCAGGAAGCTTTTGATGTGTGTGCAGCGGCTTCAGGAAAGAGTCGCTGTCCAGAACGGGTCAAAAGGACCGGCGCAGTATGTGGCAGAGGCATCAGCCTGCTCCAAGCCACACACTTTCCTTCAGAGGTAACTATTCTGGACAAAGACAAAAAAAGCCCGTTCACACCAAAAAGGACTTGAATGTGCTGCACTTTTCTTCTCAGGAACCTTCATCTGCGTAATAGAACGGCGGTGAAAAGGGGGAGGAAGAACAGGGGGAAGAGGACCAGAGATGGTTCTCAGGGTCGTCGGGCCGCTAAGCAGCAGCGTCTCCATAGCAACAATCAGGGCCAACACATCAGTATCAGCCCGACTTGTGGCGGCGGTGGCGCTCTGGATTTTGACGACCGCAGCAATCAAGCATCAGACTCATATCTGACTCCCACGTTGATTCCCTCCACGGTCACCGTGGAAACCACCAACACAAGAGAGGTCCCACCCGAGCAGAAAGCCCCACAGAACTGGGGGTTCAGAGTCTTGCTTGCCCAGTTGCGTGGCAACAGCAGCATGATCGTCAGAGAATAACGCCAGCGAGGTGACTCCCACATCTCCCACCAGCTGCTTACGTTGTTGCTGCTTAAGTTTTCCAGCTCTAGAGTAGCTTTTTTTTCTCTAGCCAGGCTATAATAAATATCTTATTAGTAGTCTCTTAAGTTTACCTGAAGGCATATAAATAAGTTTATTGGCAAGTTCATGCATGTTATTTATTTAGTTCAATAGCATCTATTTAATGTTTCATTCAACATGACGATTGTTCCCGTATCGCCAGACATATCCATCCCCTAAAAAACAATATGAATACTTTCAGTAAGATTATCTAGAAGACTGCGGCTGTGCCCAGATTACATAAAACGTACTAACGCAATTAAAAGTGACATTATGTCAACCAGGTTTCTGTACGTTTTTTTGCGTTATTTACTCAACAATGCAGTTTGATTTCCGACAGGATACAAGTGCATAATTTCCTCTTGGTACATTAGTATGGAATATCTTTTTTTAAATGTTTGTATGTTGCCTGCAAACAATTTATATATTTATCAAATACTTTGGATTTGAGACACAGTGTATTCCTGCGCTCCATATTAATTAAACCACTGTTCTCCTTGAATCTTAAATAAATAAAAAATCCAGGTATCAGTTTGTTGAATGTTATAAGCGTTTAATTCTTTTTTGGGGTTAATGTCAGATATTCTGTCCAAGCCCACATGGTGGCGCCACTCGATGACGATCAGCCCTGTGCATAGAGGGCCTTTTTTCTTTTTCACAGAGGATCTTGTTAGGAGAAAAAAAGCATAATTAATAGCATTAATATAGTGTCCCAATAACCAGGGCACTGCACCTGGTCTATCTGAATGTAAAGCAGCCTTTAAGTGATTTAAATCTCATATTAGTGAGTTTAAAACAATGAAACTAATCATTCAGATGCATAATCCATTCAGCCCGGTTAGTGCAGGCGCCTGTTTACCGAGCTGTCTGAATCATTTGTTATGAGGATAAACCAGGAAGATGCAGGTCCTTTTACACAAAACGTGTATTTTCAAGATGTCTGTGCTGATAACAGTCAATGTGGAGGAAGGGTGGGGAAAATGGGCAAGAGATAAGGGACTGAGAAACAAGTCTCGAGGTGTCGACAGTCTTTTTTGGGGGGGCGGGCGTGTTGTTTATTTGTAGGATTAATGTATCGGGAGAGGATGAGGATTTGAAGTCCGAACTGCTCGTGCCGAGCCAGGAAATGTCTGCTGACCGACTGCAGTTTCATTTAAATCAACACATTCATTTCAATGAAGTGCCAATTAAATGAATTTATTAATTAGTAATTGAGTTTCACAAATGCAACTGCATCATGTAAAATGTAATATATTCCATCTCACTATTTTGTTTTTTGTACCAACGTTTATGTGCAAGTATGTGCAGGCGACATTTGACCACATTCAATTCATCGAGGCTCCTGATAACACGGAGCCGTCGGCCAATCAGAACCCTCCGTGTCTCTGCTGTGTTTCCATCTTTACTGTAAATATGAGATTTCATTTAAAATACAGACTCGTAAAACGTTTTAAAAATTAAATACAGCTTTTTTAGTATTTCATGAAGGAATTGTATATATTTTATTCATTTAGACAAAATTATGAAATACAAATCCTGTGAAGTTCCTTCCTTGTATTTTTCTACCTGCCATTTTGAATGTTTTTATTATTTATAATTCAAAATATTTTTTTAATTGATGTATTTCTAAATGATTCCAGTCAACACAGGGTTGTTTTGCTCTCAGAAAGGTGACACGCTAGAATCACACATGCACTCATGGTTCATCGTCATGATGAAATCCTTTACCAGGACGCGGCTGACAGTCATCTCACGTTCACTTGCAGAATGCCACAATCCTCCTGCTCCGTGTCCCCTCCCTCACGTGTTGATTACATACACGCTGCATGCAGCACATAAGACAGCAACGTATTTCCACACTAGTGAGAGTTGAAACCGCTGCTGCTTGTCCTGATTTCATAGACACACACACACACACACACGGGTCTTATTCCCATCGACAGTCTTCTCCTTTCTGCCAATACATCCTGATTATTACGGCCAAGAGGTCTCGGGGCCAAAACAATTCAAGCCGCGCACACACACAACAGCGTATCCTGTGATAGAACCACTATCAGCACGTGACACCTCGAAAACAGGAAAAGCGTTTCAGCAGGAACCCAGATGTGTTGGAGTGTTTTGGGGAGGAGCCTGAACGCCGCTATAAAGCCACTGCGAGCAGAAGCTTCCCCACTGAGCAGGGAGAGGGGCTGCCTCCGTCATGTCTTACTACGAGGTAAGGTTGTCCGTGTTTGGGGTCACTTGTTGCTGCTTCCTCTTTTCTCCCCTGGCCTTAATCATCATCCCCGTCTCCCCTCCAGCACATCTTCGTGAACGACTTCAACGACACGGGCTCAGGTTCTGGTTCCGGTGACCTGCCTGATCTGGAGGAGCCGTGTGACGTGGAGCACGTGATGACCGCTGACCTCCAGCAGGTCTTCCTGCCTGTGGTCTACGCCCTCATCTTCACCCTGGGCATCACCGGAAACGGCCTGGTCGTCTTCGTGCTGGGCTGCCAACGCAGGTGAGAGGTTCGGCGGTTGATGCGGTGCACCTCTTCCCAGGAACCAACGAGCGACGGGCTTCAGTGCTTTTCCTCTCATCCGTTCCGCCCACAGGTCAAAGTGCAGCCTCACGGACCGGTATCGCCTGCACCTCTCGGCCGCTGACCTGCTCTTCGTCCTGGCGCTGCCCTTCTGGGCCGTGGACTCGGCCCTGGGCGACTGGCGCTTCGGCGAGGTCACCTGCGTCGGCGTGCACGTCATCTACACGGTCAACTTGTACGGCAGCGTACTCATCCTGGCCTTCATCAGCCTGGACCGCTACCTGGCGGTGGTCCGCGCCACGGACACCAACACGGGCGGGCTGAGGCAGCTGCTGGCTCACAGACTGGTTTATGTGGGTGAGTGTTGAAAGACCGGTTTGCTCTTGGAAAGTCTCCTCTTCTTCTCTCTCGCCCTCACACTCCCTTACTTCTTCCCGCAGGTGCCTGGTTGCCCGCTGGCCTCCTGGCGGTACCCGACTTGATATTCGCCCGGACCCAGGAAGGAGGCGAAGGGGCCACTCTGTGCCAGCGGTTCTACCCGGCCGAGAGCGCACCCCTCTGGGTCGCGGTCTTCAACCTCCAGCTGGTGGTGGTGGGTCTGGTGATCCCCGGCCTGGTCCTGCTGGTGTGCTACTGCGTCATTGTCACCAGGCTGACCCGAGGCCCGCTTGGGGGCCAGAGGCAGAAGCGGCGAGCGGTCCGGACCACCATTGCGCTGGTTCTCTGCTTCTTCGTGTGCTGGCTGCCCTACGGAGTGGGCATCTCCGTGGACACTCTGCTGCGCCTGGAGGTCCTGCCCCGCGGCTGCAGGCTGGAGGCCGTCCTGGGCGTGTGGCTGGCGGTGGCGGAGCCCATGGCGTTTGCACACTGCTGCCTGAACCCGCTGCTGTACGCCTTCCTGGGGGCCGGGTTCAAGAGCTCGGCCCGCAGAGCCCTCACGCTGAGCCGAGCCTCCAGCTTGAAGATTTTACCCCGAAGACGTCCAGGAGCCTCCACGACCACGGAGTCGGAGTCCTCCAGTCTGCACTCCAGCTAGTGACCCGCATTGTGAACATGTGTTTAAAAGGAGGTCTGAGAAAGTAAGAAGCAGTCTGCTGGCCCACGACTTGGCTTCTCCCTCGCTGCGGGGTTTCTCCTGTAAATATTGCCGCTTTTCAGTGCTGCTGTGCTTGTTGTGTACTGATGAAGATGTTTGTAATAAAATGTGCAAAGTAAAATACCCATATTTGTGAAAAAGTCTCATCTTGTGAAATATGTCTTTAGCTTCCTGAGTGAAACTGAATTCCTGGCTTCTGCCTCATGAGCAGTAAACCACAGCGAATTTCGGCCCCAACGAGTCGGCTTCCTAGTGTGCGAGATCGATATCATCAAGGCCCAAAGTACACAAACAGTTTACAGCTAATGAGATGATGATGAAGGCGTCTCCGCTTCATGTAAGAACTCTCCTTGAAAAGGATCAGGATAATGGAAGAGCATTTCTAAAGAAATATATTCTGTTTTACACGCAGTTTTAAAGAAAAGTGTAGATTATTTTTTTCTTTTGTGAGCAGAAATCTTCACTTTATGTTTGATCTGCTTGAAGATAAAGATTTGAAATGAGTTGGCACGCTGTTCTAATCTTCATTACCACCAGCTTGTCTCTATTGATCCACAGTCAAGCTCTGTCGAAAAATGAAACCAGGCTTTTATTAAAACCAGCAGAGATTCAGGTGTATCGTCTGTGAGGACGCGTGTGTGTGGTTCTGTGTCACTGATTCATGTGGATGATGTAAACAGTCTGCGTCTTGGACGTGAGAAAGAAGGCAGCCTGAAGGGGTCGATAGCTCCATTTTCCAGAAGTGAAATGCTCACACGCACGCACACTTCCCACATACTTCCACCTGGAAGTGAAAGAAACAGAAGCTGGAAGTTACTGTGTCCTGTTTCCTGGAGCAGAGAGGAGGAGGAGGATGAAGAGAGGAGGGTTGTGAGGAGACCTGATTCAGAAGATTTGACTGTGTAGCATCACTGCGTCCTCTCAGGTGCATCATATCCTGTACGGCTGCATGTGTGGCACAACATGGGTTTGCACTAAGAACTGTGGAAGCTCATTTCCACCACTAAAATAATTGATAGAGAGGGATAGAAAGTTGAAATCCTTAGAGTTCATTATTATGAGATAGAAAAGTTCAAATTATGAAATAAGACGCATCTGCAGATTGGTAATGTTCTCAAGATATTTATCACATCAATTGATTAATTAACTTTGTTTCTCAAAATTTATTTCGTTTTGTATCTTTCTACTTCACAGACACACACACACATGCACGCACACACACACACACACACACACACACACACACACACACACACACACACACACACACACACACACACACACACACACAATTCTCTTCTATTCATGGCGTGTTGAAAACAGGAAGGACTTCCTGTAACTCATTTTAGGAAAAACAAGGAGGTAAAACAATCAAACAAGCTGCTCACCAGCACTCGGGCGGCGAGGACCATGAGACGAGCACAAAGGGTTAAAAGTCACGACGCTGGTCGCTCTCATGAGGAACGCAGATAGAATTTGACTCAATAGATTTTTGAATCTGTTGTGCATGTCGGCCTCTTAGGAATGGAATGACGCGTTGTTGATTGCTGTGGTGTTGTGTGTTTACTATATTGCATGATACACACTTGTCATCCCCAATAGAAATCCCACAGCTTTAGTGGACTCACATCAGCCCTGCATTCAGAGCAGTGCTCACCACACGTCGCCCGGTCCGATCTGCAAGTTCTGTGGCTCTATGCAGCTGCTTTATTTAATATATTATGAAATCAGGGTGTTAGCGAGTTGCACCTCTCAGAGCAATGACTTCAGCATGTGCAGTGAACCAAAGACAGCTCTCTGGTACGAGGATCAGCAACACACGTATCCTCGCCAGTGGTTCTCACCCATGTGGTGGTTCTCACCCACCAGCACGATTCATGTGCCAGGTTTCAGTTTGGTTTTCACAGCAAGTCAAACGTAGCTTTGCCCGACTTTGCCAGTCAGGAATCTTATGCTTGCTTTGTGTGTCTTAGCTGTTCTAGTATTAGCATTTCTGCCCCGCTGGGTAGTCGGTGTATAAAAGGTGTTCCAAGCCTCGCTCTTTCCCCCCAGTATGGACACAAGCCCCCATTAACTTGATTCATGCACTTCCACCTCAATCCGTTTCATTTCAACAACAGTGTCCGAACCGAAACAATGAAAATGTGTCACCGTGTGAATGCAACTACTCCAGGAAACAGCTCTATTTATTTGCCCTCTTCTCTCTCGTATCCTGCTGCTCTGAAACTGTTTGTTCCCATCGTTTGTTTGACACCTGCTGTTGCCACAAATCGGACATTATCAGAATTTTCATGTCTGTGCAGTTGGCGGTTATTTCACAGCAACACATGTGAGGGGGTTAGTTCATCTACACTAACCGGTTACCGTATGTGTGCATCTCGATCTCGTAGGTATCCTGATTTCTACTTTACTTTATACATTTCACAGGAAAATATGATATGAAACGCCCCCCCCACCAATGCTGTCGTGGTGCACGTGTGAGGGGGGGTCTGTGTGTGTGTGTGTGTGTGTGTACGCGTGGGTACAGATGGTCAGGTTCACTCATATTCAGACAAGCGGAGTTTCCTGCGGTTGAACAATCGTGGGAAAACCAGAGGTCAAGACAAAAGGAAAAATAAAGACGGAGAGAAAGACTGGGTTGCATCCAAATGGCCTGCAACAACTTCCTGCTCTGTTCCTGGTGGATTAATACAATGTGACAGGTGAAACCAATCGCCCGCCGGGAGTGTTTGCATCCACCTCAGCAGGTGGAGGCGTGAGAATGATGGGGGAGCAGGAATAGACATTAATGTGTTTGGAGATCAATGCACGTTGGTCTCGATGCTCATGAGTCTGAACCCTGCACACTGAGTGCTAAGCAGATAATAAATGAGGCACAAACACGTTAAAATCAGGGATATAACTCCTTCATCAAATAAAGATCCAAACTCAAGTCAAGGGAATCAAGTCAAAACTCAACCTGATCCGAACATTAAAATGAAATTTATAAAATAAACGAGGCCCAGTACGTTGCAACACACGGAGCAAACTGATAGCAGATCAATAGAAGTTATGACATTCTCTGAACACTGTAAATGACATGAAGCCAAGACTGCCAACGCTGACAAAGCAGACACGTATATATCCAATACATGAGAGTTAAGAATTACAACACTACATTCACCTAATGCCAACATATCTTTGATATTGATTGTTATCAAGATCATAATAGTAATATAGGAAATAATACCGAGTTTTTAAAATCTCTGCTCTGACGGTTTCTTTGATGGACATAACGCTCTTGCAGTCAGAAAATACAATGAAACATTTTTTGGTGGGACTGATTTTGATATTTCAACAGATGTTATAATTATTAATGTATTTACTGCCCTCCAGTGGTCAAACGAAGTACTTTGTGGCTCGCACACTGTACGCATCACATTAACGAGTTGTACATTTTGTAAATTGAGAACGTTATCTGGCAATTTGAGAGATTAATAATTCACTCGGAATATTCCAGAAGCATTTTGTACCGCTGATATTTGAGCAGGGATCTCGGTCACAGACACACTTTCTTCTTTATACTCGATTTGTTTGAAGACGGAAGCGTGTCGCGGGAAACGGCAGAACGACCCCGCGTCAGTTTACACGCTCGCTCCTGATTGGCTACCAGACGGACAACTTTAGAAACTAACTGCCAATTGGTCGAAAGTGGCGCGCCAGAGATCACGTGTCTCTCTTTTCGCGCGAAACTGCAGTACTCTGTTGTCGGAACCGCAGCGTGAGCGTCTGTCCGTATTCTGAACAGTATTTCTCCCGTTTGACGGTGTTTGAAGCATGGACGTCGCCACAGCAACCGCGGAGAATGCCGGGGAGATGGTGAAAGACGAGTTGGCTGAGAAATGCCAGAAGTTATTCCAAGCTTTCTTGGAGGAGTAAGTCGCTTCGCTCCGTCGGCCCCGAAACGGGCCGCGCGCGAGCCGATCGCCGGTGACCCCGGAACCAGCGCGGATGTGCTGATCGATGAGTATAACAACTGTCCCCCCGCTGCGTGTGTCCGCGTGCAGGTTCCACGCCGCGGATGGGGAGGTGAAGTATGTCCGGGAGGCGGAGGAGCTGATCAGGCCCGAGAGGAACACCCTGGTGGTGAGCTTCACGGACCTGGAGGGCTTCAACCAGGAGCTGGCTACCACCGTGCAGGAGGAGTACTACAGGTGAGGAACACACGCACGCACGCACGCGGTGCCGGTGAATGAGCGGCTGTGGGTTAACGCGACGCGTCTGTTTCCAGAGTCTACCCGTTCCTCTGTCGGGCGGTGCGCAACTTTGCTCGCGATCACGGGAACGTTCCTCTCAACAAAGAGTTCTACGTGGCCCTGGAGGAGCTTCCCACCAGACACAAGTAGGCAACAAACGCGCCTCAGCTGCTTTTTCCTTTTCAGTCAACCTCAGACGTTCCCTCTCCGGGAATTTGTTCAATTAGCCGAAGTCGACCATGATCCTCTGTGCGCTGTAGGATCCGTGAGCTGTCATCCATGCGCATCGGCACCCTGGTGAGGATCAGTGGTCAGGTGGTGAGGACGCACCCAGTACATCCAGAGCTGGTAAGATGTCCTGTGTGTGTGTGTGTGTGTGTGTGTGTGTGTGTGTGTGTGTGTGTGTAAACACCCAGAGATGCTTAAGAAAAACAATTGAAGCTGAGCTTGTTGGTTTGTGTCTTCTGACTCACAGGTGAGCGGCACCTTCCTCTGCATGGACTGCCAGGCGATGATCAAAGATGTCCCTCAGCAGTTCAAGTACTCGCCGCCAACCATCTGCAGGAACCCCGTCTGCAACAACCGCTTCCGCTTCCACCTCGACACACACAAATCCAAGTTCATCGACTTCCAGAAGGTAACTGTGTGTGTGTGTGTGTGTGTGTGTGTGTGTGTCCGTACGTTCGTAACAACATGAGGTTTGTTTCTTTTGTAGGTGCGTATCCAGGAGACTCAGGCAGAACTGCCACGGGGTTCCATCCCGCGCTCCCTGGAGGTGGTCCTGAGGGCCGAGGCCGTAGAGATGGCTCAGGCCGGAGACCGCTGTGACTTCACCGGGACCCTCATCGTGGTGCCGGACGTCTCTCAGCTCACCACCCCCGGTATGGCTTTCCAACGCACACTTTCTGCCTTTCGAGTTGCAGATAGTGACCTCGCCTTCGAGCGAGAACCTCCTTGCAATTGTTAAAATTTTCACCTCACGACCGCCTGAAATGCCGTCCCGTCTGCAGGTGTGCGAGCAGAGACCAGCACCCGCGTCGCCGGAGGCCCCCCGGGTTTTGAGGCTGATGGTTTGAAAGGGCTGAAAGCTCTGGGGGTCAGAGAGCTTTCCTACAGACTGGCCTTCCTGGCCTGCAACGTGGCCCCGACCAACCCACGTGTAAGACGACCGCCCCGACGATACCAACCGATGCGTTCCCAAACGCAACCTCCGCGGCCGCCGTTCTAAAGTGTGCTTTCTCGTGTCGCAGTTTGGCGGAAAGGAGCTGCGGGACGAGGAGCAGACGGCGGAGAGCATCAAGAGCCAGATGACGGAGAAGGAGTGGGAGAAAGTGTTTGAGATGAGCCAAGACAAGAACTTGTACCACAACCTGTGCACCAGCCTCTTCCCCACCATCCACGGTCAGAGCTTCAGCCACCGCTTGACCCCCGTTACCTCCAGCTGGGGATCCCGTGGTTAAATGGGGGTCCGCGTGGTGTCTTTGCAGGCAACGACGAGGTGAAGCGCGGCATCCTGCTGATGCTGTTCGGAGGCGTTCCCAAGACGACCATGGAGGGAACCTCGCTGAGGGGAGACGTCAACGTCTGCATCGTCGGAGACCCCAGTACCGCCAAGAGCCAGTTCCTCAAGTACGTCACGTGACCAGGAACCGCTCGGACGGTCAGATGCGGTGCTGGCTGCATCGGCGCTGTGCACAGAATGTGTCCGTCTGAATGGCAATTTTAAGTGCGTGTGCGTGTGCGTGTGTGTGTGTGTGCGTGTGCAGGCACGTGGAGGAGTTCAGTCCCAGAGCGGTGTACACCAGCGGCAAGGCCAGCACCGCCGCAGGTCTGACGGCGGCCGTGGTCCGAGACGAGGAATCCGGGGAGTTTGTCATCGAGGCCGGCGCTCTGATGCTGGCTGACAACGTGAGTGTTCCCGGCCCACAGAGGGGGGTGTGAGGGGTCGACGGGTGCGCAGGGGTGTTAATGGCCTGTGTGCCCCTCCAGGGTGTGTGCTGCATCGACGAGTTTGACAAGATGGACCTCAAGGATCAGGTGGCCATCCATGAAGCCATGGAACAGCAGACCATCAGCATCACCAAGGCCGGAGTGAAGGTGTGTGTGTGTGTGTGTGTGTGTGTGTGTGGGTCGACTGGACGTTTCTGTCCTGCGTCGCCTTAAGAGCGTGACGCCTTTTCAGAGTATTGCTTTTACTGGGCCGGTGAATGATGGACAGGGAGGACGATGCGTCTGTTTTAGACCACATTTTAGTCAATTTGGGGAAGCAGAACCGTACCGATGCTCACAGGCACCAGACATCAGCTGCACGTGCAACTAAAAACCTTTCAAAGCAGCTTTCAAGTCCAAATCCAAACGGAGGCCTTTCAGGCGTCTCAGCAGTACAGTAACAGGACTTTGCCTCCGTCTCCTCCAGGCCACCCTGAATGCTCGCACCTCCATCCTGGCTGCGGCCAACCCTGTCGGAGGGCGCTACGACCGCGGGAAAAGTCTGAAGCAGAACGTCAACCTGACCGCCCCCATCATGAGCCGCTTCGACCTCTTCTTCATCCTGGTGGACGACTGCAATGAGGCACGTGTTTATTCCGTCTGTGCAGTCTTCCTGCACCAGTCTGCATTAGTCAGACGCTTATTGAGCTCCTTTATATTTCTGGCATCCTCGGATCCGACGCGGTAACAATACAACTCACCTCACAGGTGTTTTAGCTCACGTTTTACCTGACTTGAGCTCACGTTCCTCCGTGCGTCTCCTAGGTGACGGACTACGCCATCGCCAGACGCATCGTGGACCTGCACTGTCGCGGGGAGGAGTCTGTGGACCGGCTGTACTCGCTGGACGAGATCCGCAGATACCTGCTCTTCGCCAGGCAGTTCAAGCCTAAGGTGCGTGTGCGCGCGTGTGTGCGTTCACATCAGGTTCGAGACGTGATCCCTCGTTTAACCGTCGTGTATTCCACACGCCCGCAGATCTCCAGCGAATCCGAAGAGTTCATCGTGGAGCAGTACAAGCGGCTCCGCCAGCGCGACGGCTCGGGCGGTGTGACCAAGTCCGCCTGGAGAATAACGGTGCGACAGCTGGAGAGCATGATCCGCCTGTCGGAGGGCATGGCGCGCATGCACTGCTGTGACGAGGTGGGCACCGATCAACAAGGGCCTCCACAAGAAACCAAAACAGAACTTTGGATCGGTAGATTATTTAACAAAGCCCGACCATTTGAAAAGGCAATGTGAGGTTTTTAATTGAACTCATGTTATTGACCGTTGCGCTTTTTCTCTTTTGTGTCTTCAGGTGCAGCCCAAACATGTGAAGGAAGCCTTCCGTCTTCTCAACAAATCCATCATCAGAGTGGAGACGCCCGACATCAATCTGGAGCAGGACGACGAGGTGGAGGAGGAGGAGGAGGAGCACCAGGAGGATGGTACACTGATCGTTTACATGCAGAGACGTTGTTTGTACCTCGACTGAAACTTTGATTTGGGCTTCGTCTAATACAGACTTTATCTTTGCAGAAAACGCTGTCCCCAACGGAGTGAACGGCCATGTGGACGGTGCTGACGGCATTAACGGACACGCCAACGGGGCGAGCGGACCCGCGGAGTCGGGGGGGCAGCCCAAACCGGCTCTTCGCCTCTCCTTCCCCGAGTACAGACGCATCTCCAACCTGCTGGTGCTGCATTTGCGCCACGCCGAGGAAGGTACGAGACGCCTCTTCCTGCTGCTGAGGAGGCATTTCTATTTTCCGTACCTGTCTTATCTTTTTCATTTTTGTGAGTCAGCTCTAACATCCCCCCCCTCCCCCCCTCCTGCTTGGCGGGCTGCAGCCGAGGAAGAGGAGGAGCTGAAGAAAAGCGCGGTGGTCAACTGGTATCTGAAGGAGATTGAGTCGGAGATCAACTCTGAGGAGGAGCTCGTCAGTAAGAAGGGTCTGATAGAGAAGGTCCTCCACAGGCTGGTGCACTATGTGAGTGCCCCCCCCCCCCCCCCCACCTCCCCCCCAGCTCCAAAACGTATAAGCGCTGGTTTCAAGCCGGCGTTACCTGACGTGCGTGTCTGTCTGCTCCTCCAGGATCACATCCTCATCGAGCTGTCTCCGGCAGGGCTGAAGGGCTCCGAACCCGCAACCACAGAAGAAGAAGTAGTTCTTGTCGTCAACCCCAACTACATGCTGGAAGATTAAACTCCTCGGGTTTCCGCTATTGTTGATAATAAATCTCAACAGTGTTTGTTGAAATGTCACATGTAATGCATCCGTAATGTTAATGTTTCTCAGTGAACCTGACTTTTGTAAATAACCTGTTCTCTTGTTGTTCACTGTCGTGGTTGTTGGGCCCTGAATGTTTACACGCATTCAGGCTTACGCAGTTCCGTGCTTTCAAGTTATATGGTAAGTCTTTTGTAGTATTATGACATGAAGTGGTTAGAAATGGTTTGATAAATAAAATGTTGACATAAACACCCCTCGGCTATGATTTGCTGCTGCGTTTCATGGAGGCGCAACGCCGATGTCGTCCGCTAGGCGGCAGCGGCCATAGGTCGAGCCTCACTGCGCATGCGCAGCCGCATTACTCAACAAACATGGCGGCATCCTACGCGACAGCAGTCAGGACGGCCCTGAAAGGTAAACGTATTGACATCACACGCTGTTTAAAGGAAGCCAGCGAGATGCTAACGGTCCGTCGCCAGGAGCCGTGGCTGAGACCTTTTACACGATGTAAGCAGACCCAGTTAATAGCGTTGAAACGTGAAGGTGCCTCTTACTTCCAGGTGTTCACCTGGTTCCCGGCTGGTGGCTCCTCGCGCACAGGTGCCCGGACCCCGGCAGTGTGTCGCTACTCGCGGCTACACGTCTCCCCCGCTGCCGCCCTGTGCAGCTCCAAGACAGAGCCGCAGAGGAGCAGCCAGTCCCCCGGGGCCAGGAGAACCGAGGAGGAGGAGGAGGAGGAGGAGGAGGGTCCTGAGTACATCCCTCAGAGGAAGGCGAGGAACCCCATGATGGTGATCGGCTACGCCTGGTGAGGCTCCGCGACCTCACACGAGTAACTGCAGTCTGATGTAGTGCACACAGCAGTAGTACCATTGGCGGCAACAATTACATTTTATTTTATATTTATTTATATATATATATTAGTTAGTAACGTATTGTGTGATGCACAAACTCAAGCGCGTATCCATTAATCAAGTAGTGGGGATAAAACAATTACCAGACATCTACATGATTACTAGTAGTTGAGTACTTTCATTGACATATAAGGGACATATAATAATAATAATAATAATAATCATTCATGTTTATCATATAAACATTTATTTACAGAACATCAGCAAACAGGGCTACGAAATCTGTGATCATGGGGCTTAAAGTAGGATATTCTATCTTTTGTTCATGAGCAAGAAAGGTCCCGGTTAAGGCTCGGTCTCGAGCACGTTCCTTCTTAGATCTCCTGCATCCTCCTGTATGAAATGATGTTCGTGTTGATTAATGAGATCTTAGTCTTACGGTCGCCCCTGGTCCTGAAGCAGCTGGTTTATCTCATTAGCAAAAAGTGTCAGCCTGTGCGGCGGATCGACCCGTCAGAGTGTATTCACTGCTGTGGTCTGCAGGGGCGGCTAATCATGTAACCGCCTCACAGAAAATCAACTCAAGTGTTTATATTCTCGCACCATTTGAGAGGGACGCTAACTTGTTAGGTACATCAAGGTAAAACAAAGATCTGACCGTCATGAAGATGTCTCTAAACTCATTTGCGTGTTGAAAGTGAACAAATATCATCTCCACTCAGTTTAATTTAGGTAACAGCTGCACAAGGCACATCAAGTTGATCAGCTCATCTTTCCTGAGAGCAGCATTTGGTGCAAAAATGTTGTATTGTACGGCTTTAGCAAAGCGTATCACACGACTGCAAACTGAGTGTAAATGTTCAAAGTAACATTGTGTGATTACTTTAATTTAGAGAAAACAATTAACTAATTAATCCTGTGGATTGAACCCTGTTAGAATTATCTTTGCACATCTTGTGTTGCCCAAAGTAAAATAACTGTATCTCCTCTAGGATGATAGGTCTGCCCACGGGTATCATAGGCTTCATCCTGGCCAAGAGACAAGTGGACAAGAACCGACTGAAGCAGCTGAAGGTCCGTCAGAGGATGAATCGCTCCAATGAGGGAGACTATGCAGGAAGTCGCTACCACAATGATGCAGAGGACGTCAAAGTGGACCAATGATGTACATGAATGTTGCCTCCTCTGAACTAAAGCCCAAAGACTGATCACACAAGAGATGAGCTTCTAAAACCTCGTAAGATTATTTCTTCTGGAGGATGATGCAGGAAATCTGGGGAACGTGCTCAATTCTTTAAATCAGGACCTTTTTCTTTCTTGTTCATGAACAAAGATGTAATATCCTACTTTAAGCTGCATTTGCTGAATGATCACATATTACTGGGCCCTGTTTGTGATAAAGGAAAAGTTTATTTATGATAAACATCAATGGTACAAACCCCATCAGAAGTCATCACACATGTTTATTTAATATTAAGTCAAACAATCTAATGGATATTTATCTTAAGAGACGCAGACCACACTGTGTGTGCGCAGCATATTCCAAATGTTACGTTTGTATGAGTCAAGGGACCTATATGACATGGGTCTAAAATACTGTGTAGGAGGCCTTGAATGTCATACAAGTTAAAAATGTAAAATCTCAAAGTATTGTAGAATGATTTATAGCGGAGAATAATATTTCTTGTGTTAATAGTGTTATGAAATGGTATGACAAGTCATAATACATTATGAGTATTGGGCTATGAAAGGTTTTGGATTCAGTAAAAAGTTATATTTGCATAAAAACCTCACTATGCCACAGTATAGTGTATATACATCAAAAGTGGTGGAATGCATGATGATCATAAATGGTAGTTTTAAAAAAAATCAAAAATTATTATGTTGAAAAAGTTAAGTCTTTCAAACTAATTTTGACGGTGAATCAAATACTTCCCACTTTATTTGGTCCCTACTACGATACGTAGTATTGAAATGTCTCAACTCACAGCATCAATAATAGTCGTATAATAATTAATATCAAAATAATAGCTTCTTTCTGGCCAAGAGAGAAGTGGAAATACTGACAGTAGATTAGTAGGTCGGATGAAAATGAATCTTTATTCAGAGGATCTTAATATCAAAAACCTCAACTGTTTCTTCAGATGCAATAAATCTAAGAAGCAACGTGCTTGAGCTTTTTACGATGCCACACTGACTCTGTTCTAGGGTTGCAACGGGGAAGTACATTGCTGGATTTTGCAAAAATATAGCAGGGAATTTAAATGTAGAGAGGAAGCCTGGCTGAGCTGGACCCTGGCTGGGAACGTAAGACGTTTGTCATTACCGAGCATGATGATTACTTGGTAAATGGAAGCAATCTTCATTTTAATACCAAGTGTTTTAGTAGACAGTAGGATGGATGTAAGTACACCATCCTTCTCTCCTCTTCAATAGGGGGGTCCTCAGCTCTGTGCACAGAGGACTTGACTGAACCTGAAACTATTCAGGGAAAATGAATCAGAGGCTTGAGAAGCTTAATTCAGTTTACATTTAGAAGTGGACTTTTTGGGGGGAAGTGATTGGAAGGAATACAACTTTTTATGCAACAATCATGTTTTTGTTGTTCAATGAAAGAATGTAATTTTGGAAATTATTAGAAATATTTGCATCTCTGCTTTTTTGTGTCATATATGGCAAGGTAAATGCAGTTAAATTATCCCAAAATGTTCCGTATTTTCCCGAAAAGAAAAAAAAAGACAAAAAAAATTTTCCTGGATTTTTGCAACCCGACTCGGTGTCAATAATTTAAACCGTGTCGTGCATCGAGGTGGCGTCTTATACTGTGTGGTGCCTGTAACCAAAACGTGATGTAATCAAGCAAATGGACATTAGTAATTATATGCAGAGCACCGATTACAGATGACAGTGAATTTATTTGTGGCAGAACATGCATTGTGTTACCCTATATGGACAACCCTGCTCTGCTGGCACTGAACCGTAACATGAAATATAGAAACGGACTCAACATGTAACAAAACACCACGAAGGCCTGCGGGGTGCAACATTTGAATAGTTTATAGAAATAAACACATCAATCACCATTTTGAAGGCACTCGAGTGATGCAGAACTTCTAAAGCAACATGTAGTGAACCCATTAAAGCAAATGGTTAATATGAAGCCATAACAGCAGTATGGAGGCCGTCACTAGATGGACTGAGTAGTGACTAAATCAATCACCAATGTATCAACATTGACTATACGAAGTGTAGGTTTCCATACTGGTGTCGGTACAATCAATACCCAATGTTACATTGCGTAACATCCGTTGTTAGGCGGATAAACACTTTTTGATGCGGTGTTGTGCGTAAGCCTAACCGCACAGATGACCTCAATCTGTTTTTAACATTAAAGCCAGTTTTGCCTTTAACGCAAATAATAAAATATAGTTTAAATAACCTTCAAGCTAGGAGTTAACATAAATGAGGCGATGTACACTTAATACGAAGGAGTTACAACTTACAAGCTAAATGTACAGAAACCTGAACGGCGGCCTGGTAACTGTGTTGCATATTTTGCCTGGAGCTTTAGTGCATCGATAGCACATCAAATATAGGATTATGATGATCCCTCAAACGTCCCTCTACCTTTCAGTGCCAATGGTCGTTGGCTCCTAAATCTGACGTTTGTATTCTTCAACCCCTTAACAGAGCTGGTAGGCAGATTTTCTACCTCCAGAAAAACTTAATTTGGCTCACAGGGAGGAATCAATTTGATTTGAGTATTTTCTCAACATCTACATAGTCGTCCGCAGTTCATGTCTATTAATATGTACAAATATGTGCAGAGAAAACATGGATATATATACGGTTTGCAGTGAATAAATGCTGCAGGCGGCATTCCAGTGTCTATATTGGGAGTATTAATATTTCCAATAAAAACCAAACCAATGAAAAGTTGTTCAATGCTGTAGACATTTCATATCAGAAAAGATGCATAGTTTTGTGCAGGGGATTAACCTATGACGAAATATCAAATTCAAACCTTAAACATTTTCACCGGAGTGCATCAGAATTTTGGAAATGCTTTCTTATTTGGTGGAGTTTTTTGATGTTAAAAAGCACGGAATGTTGTTTTGAAGGCACTCGTCTGCACTCTGTCGACCCGGATTGGTCGCGTACCCCTCGGGTCCGATCATTTGGTCGTAGCACCAATGATCTGCAGCAGGAAGAGGAAGATCTGAACGATGTCGACGTAGAGGGAGAGCGCTGCAAACACGTACTCCTCCGGGCTGATGGAGTGCTTCCTGTTCCCCAACAGCAGCTGAGTGTGGTACGCCAGGAACTACGAGACGACCAACAAACACTAAGAACAACGCCGCGGCCAAACGCGACAGCTGTAAAAATCCAAATGACATGGTACAAAACACTCACCAACGTGAAAGCGATGGCCCCTATAGCTGCATACAGCATGTGAAGCCACAGCATCTACAGAAACAAACATTCAGAACAACCATTGAAGCCTAAAAAATGGTGCGATGTGAGTTTTGGTTGACGTCAGCCTTAACGCACATATTTGAATGACAGCACAATCGCTGAAATGATCCCAGTCACGAACACCACGATCCCAAGGACACAGAAAAGGCCCTGGCACTTGGTGAAGTCCACCTAGAACGAGAAAGCACAAACAGCCAAGTTCATTAAACCAAGACTGGCACACTGCGACCATTTGATGCCGATAAGCTTCTTCGCAGCGCCACACCACCTTGGTCTGGAAACAGAAGACCGTGACGGCGATGCAGACGACTGCTGTGATGCCCAGAGCGAGGAACACGGCTTTAGTGTCATAGTAACTAAAACAAAAGAGCAGCACACAGGGTTGATTCTGAGAGGGAAACTGGGTGGTTTGATTCTACAACAGAGACGTTTCAGGTTGCCTTTACCTGGAAATGGATCCAGTCATGTAGGACAAAGCCAAGGTCTGAAAAATACGTAATTTTCCATTTAAAAATACAGTAACATCATTTCACAACAACAAAAAGCCTGTATCTGATCTGATCATCAAAAACATCGGATTACAAGCTATAAAAGGGCTGGATGAAAACTAAGAAAAGAAGGGATATGTTAGGGATTAAGTAGACGTGCACACATAGTGGTAGAAATTATAATACATGTATTTGTGTCTAGTATACAGTTGGGGTTTGTGTGAGCTTATATATTAGTTATTACATTAGCATGTTGGATGAAATTAATCCAATATGAATAAAACACAATTTAAAGTAATTTAAGACATATAATTACAGTACACCTTAACATCTTGCCACGATGTAATGTTAAAACCAAGGTTTATGGATTTCTCCCAATTTTATCCCCAAAGAGGGTTTGTTCTCCTGTCAGGTAGTAGATAAGCAACTGGATGCAAGACAGCCGAGTGGGGCAAATATCTTGAGTATTGGAGCACATGAACTGTGTCATTTATGTTGTGTTGTAATTAACGTGTACTGGTTATAAGATGAAGACAAACTATGCATGCTATGTTATATATTCATTAAGGCATATTATCTTCATTTAATGTATTTGAATGTGAGGAAAAGAGAAGGCCGAGAGGTTCCAGGTTGCAGCAGCAGATTCGAACGAACCCCCTAACAGATGCCCCCTAAATATTGAATTATGATATATTACTGCAACGTGAACATATTTTCTGGTACTAAGAAAACTCTGCTGAAAGGCAGTCAACGCTCCAGGATGTACAACATGAAACAGACGCAGGAACAACACGTCAAATGCATTATGCAAACACAGCCGAATACGCTGACTCACTGATTAGATATAATATCAAAGTCAAACTTCTAGCATGGAAACCTCACAGAGAGCTACAGTGTTCACAGCGTTAGAATACGTTTGATCCAAGTCCAGGAAACTGAGAGTAACTAATCTCCAGTTAACTGCAAGTAATCTGTCTTACAAAGATGGACAGCAGAAGGACGTTCCATGGAAACTTTCTCCTGAAAGGAAAGCGCGAGATTAGAGTTTTAAATGCAAGCGTATGAATAGTCTCTACTTTTATCCTTTACAAGCCTGAGTGCTCACCGGGGGCCTTTGCAGCAGACCAGCACAAGGTGGGTGACGAAGTACACGCCACTGACAAGGAAAAATACAGGGATTAAGAAATGAATATTAACTAATTCACACATTTTTGATGGTAGAAAAGAGGTTTGAAGACTCACTATGATGCCCAGTATATGGCTGGGTTACGTCGCACAAACACTTTGACAGGTTGGCTGGAAAACACAGTCAGAGTCAACAGATGGACACACGCACACAGACACACAAAGCACTCGGCATACTCACACAAACGTGAACACGGCCACAATGGCCGTGGTGAAGAGGAGCTGGGACGCCAAAATCAAGTACACCTGAAAACAGACACATATGTGATCATGGTGTTACACTTCTTTCCTCGCTGCGCGACTCAGACGTGATGGTGACACACTTTGTTGTTTTGTGCGACAGGTGTGTTTTACCTTTCTTATGAAGGCATGCCGAATGCTCAGTGCGTCCCAACTGCTGCCGCTCGCCGCAAACTCCTCACCTGGGTCAGCAGAAAGAAACGTGAGCGCCGACCAAAAGGAGCCACGGAAGAAAATGACAGTTCAGCACTTTAGGAAATAATCCAATTTGCTTTCTTACAGAGAGCTACATTCTGGCGGGGGTTTTTAAGCTTTGATTATTACATCATCAGCCGTGTTCTACATTCTGCTGATTGGGTGGAGCTTTTTTTAAATGAGTCTGACAAACCAGAGAAAAGAATCTGAACCTGTTAGAAGACAATGAACTCAAACGGCATCTTACCGGAGCTCAGCATGTCTGAGGAAATGGTGGCCGGCATGACGGGGGGCATGGGCGGGGGACTGGGGTAGCCTGGCCCCGGAGGCCCGCCGTGGTGGGGCTGTCCTTGGTACGGGGCGCCAGGAAAGCCCCCCGGCTGGCCAGGGAACAGAGGGGCACTTGGACCGGTAGGGTAGGGGGCTGGAGGCTGGGGACCCCCGTACGAAGGGAATCCGTACGCAGGGGGCGGAGGGTAATTCCCCCCCTGAGGAGCATACAGCGCTCCCCGGGAGTCATCGTACACCGGCGGGTAGTCGGACCTGGACATTGGGCCTGAGAGGACATTTGGAGGAGATTCAGGCGTTCCGAAAGCAAACAGGGTGAGAGACAGTAGGAGAGGAAACACAGGCACAAAATTATCACACAATTCCAGCTTCTCACATATCATTTTACATCAGAATCTCCAGGCTGGAAATTTTCTGAAACCAATATTTTCGCAATTGACAAAAAGATGAATTAGCAGCTCAGTGTTGTATGCCATTCAGTTAAGTTGTGGTTTAAATTGGTTACTGTCCAAAACATAAAACCGTATTCTCCACACTCCACGGCGCACTTAAAAGTCTTATTTTCTAAAAAAATGACAGTACGCTTTATAATCCGGAGCGCCTTATATATATGGATCAATTGGTTAATGGGTTGATCCATACTGGTTGTACACGGCGCTCAAGCCGCTCTGCCAAACATGCCAGAGCTCGTCTACGACGGCGAGATGCTGAGCGGCGCTCAAGCGCGTGAGATACGGCGCTGCTTTCAGGGCGCGTCGGAGAAACAAAGCTGTCGTTCTCGCCGAGCACTTCATGAGATTAAAGAGCGAGAGACGGCGCCCGTTTCTCTACAGTAGCTGAACCATCTTAACGGGGAAATAAGTTATTGTAAAAGGGCCCTTGGCAGGCGGCGCGGCTGGAGAGCAGCCGAAGATGTAAGGCGTGGATGGCGAGGGGGGGGGCGGGAACGGACGCATCGATCAGACCCTGAAAGCACCGTCTCCACCTCCCCACACCCCCCCCCCATCCACCCACCCCGGCGTCAAACGTTTGACTGCAGTATCTTATGTGCATTATAATGCGAAGCGCCCTGTATATGAAAAGTGTTCTCAAATAGGTCGTTCATTGAAGGTGCCTCTTATAGTGCGGAAAATACGGTAACTAGAGGACATAAAATAGTTATAGTATAGTAGGTTATAAGAAAAGTCCTAAAATGTTTAGTATTTTATAAATAATTATGAATTAAAATGTGTTTACTGTGCCAAAACCGCAATGCTAAAGTAGAACAAGGTCAACAAAGAAGTTTTTGTATAACTGAAGAAATGATGGTATAGTATGGCATGAACCAAAGTTGCTGGTTTTGCTGTGTCGTCAGCTCATTTCATCCCATCAGAGAGTTGTGTGTCTTTGCTATGATTAGCATCTGACAACTTGGGTTATAAATAAAAACGTAAACATTGAGTATTAAAATAATGTTGAATAACGTTTTATCCCCCAAAAATCCCCAGAAACCACTTGATCCACAACAGGAATCCTTTGAAACACAATTTCTCCCAAAATGGATTCGCAGACTTGATCTGTGACTTTCTAAAAAATGACAATAACTATGTCGACGTTAAAAAGACAGAGCTGTGTTTCTGAGGAAGTTTCCTTTTGGCTGCTGGGGGAAAACGCCACATGCTGCCATTACATTACACCCAGAGCACCAAGCAACAGGACAGAAAACACTGAATGGAAAAAGTGTTTCAGAGAATCTGTGGTCCAACAGTCACAGGACCAATCCCCCGCCTGCTCAATGACACACTGTGGAGCAGACAGGAGGCCAAAAAGGTGTTTGATAGGAGGGCGTAACTTTTCCGTTGGAGCGGTCACTCAGAGAGAGGCTGCGTTTTCCGTATTGGGTAATCATATGTAGTCATCATTGTGTGTCTGAGTCACTGCTGCACCCTCTGACAACACGGTTTCCATTTTGTTTACGTCCATGTCACTTAACAAAAGCAGAATTCATCAAATATCTTGTTGAAACGTCAGTGACATCACAGGCAGCGAGGCCTCGTGCAACTGTTCTACCAAGCCCGTCATTTTGCACAACCTGACGATCTTAGAATACTTAAGCCGACGAGAGAAGGAACTAGTTTGACAAAAGCTTAACTTTTGTGCTTTTTGTTCAGACTGTTTAAGGATTTGTTTCAACAGACTTTATGTTGGCGAGTGACTACTAGCGAGTACTTTATACAATCAACCTTTCTGTATTTATCAGACTAACAGCAATAAAGACTGTGACATCACAAATACATCTTTGCCAAGAGTTTGTGTCTCTGAGACAAGACTTGTGTCATTTGAACCTGAGGGAAATTAATTCATTTGTTTACAAGAATCAATGTCAGTTCACAAAAAAAAAAAAAGTTAAATCTTTACACTTTTTTCTTATACAAGAATCACAGCCGATCCTCTTGAGTTCACCCACAATACAAACAATAATATAGTTGCGAAGACTAAAAACGCACCATGAGAGGCACGGGTTGCATTGGACCATCAGACCTGGTTCCTTCCAGTTCCACTGAAGGCCCAATGGTCTTAATAAATAACTAAAACAGTATTAAACAGGATTCAGTCTAGTCGGCCAGACCAATTCAGGAGAGGAGCAACATATGTTGCGAATAGCTAAGAAGATTAATGACATAATCTTTGACTTTCTGATACAAGCATCAAATTTGGTAGAAATTCTCTCCAAGACCTATATTTGTCCAGTATCCAAGATGAAAAAACAATATGGCCACCATTTTCCAAGACGGCCGCCAGCAAATGCCATTATATGCATTGTGATATCCAATTTTGAAAAAGCTGGCTTAAGGGGATCGAGTTAAATATTCTCATGAGTGCAATATTTACCAGGACCGGCCCTTCCTATAGGCTACCAAGGCCTTCTAGTGGTGCCCGTAAGCATACATACTAGCTTTCTCTCTACAACATTGATTAACAAAATAAAATGAAATAAAACCCTGGTGAAATAAAAGCATCATTAAAACTAACATAGCGGCCCCACCATATGTTGAAATTGGGTGTTTGGGGGCGGCGGGGGACCTTATAGCTGCGTGCTTTGTAAGGCAACAGGCATACTCAGATCAAGCTAATGTAAAATAAAAAGGTCTGGTGCAAAGGGACGAAAATGAAGAAAAGGAGGAGGAAGTGGGGGAGAAGAAGCTCAGTATAGAGGTATGAATTTCCATCTCAGACAAGTCATTTCATGTCACACATAGGATGCTTTAGATCAGTGATTCTCAACTAGTGGGTCGCGACCCACCTGGACCCGTTTTTAATGGGTCGCGGCCCGCGGGCCTTTGCCTGCGAGAATAAAAATTAGAATTAACAGCTGGCTGTTTTGTTTTTTCCTTAAACTTGTTTTTGTGTTGGCATACGTATTCTGTCTCCATACTATCTCAGGTTCAAACTGCACCATATTTTCATTAAATCAATTTGAGAAGTTGAGAATGTTCCTCGATTTGGGTCGCAGCTTGTCATTAAGGGGTGATGGTGGGTCCTGGAGCCAGACCAGTTGAGATCCACTGCTCTAGATTAACACTCTGGTTGTCGTTTACATAGCTAGTGTTGGCCTTGTTGGCCAAACTGCTTTAAGCCATAAGCCTAGTTTATGCTTCTGTGTTTTCAGACCGACGCAAGGAAACGCAAACGCAAGAGTCCCTTGTGTGTCCCTTGCGTGCCTTTTCACACCTCGACCCATTTTTCTAGGCTTGCGTCGAAAGCGACAAAAGCTACGCAAGTCTCCTTTTAAAATGTCCAGAGGCACCCCAGAGGCCCTCACCTCATGAAGAAAGCTCAGCTGATCCCCCAGGTTCACCTCTCTGAACCTTGTAAGTTTGTTTATTTATTATAATTATTGGTGGTAGTAGTAAGTAGCGTCCTATAAAATGCATATTAATAGAGCTACAATCATCTGTAATAGTTCAAGATTGTGTAAATACACTCAAAATATGACCTCACACTTCCATTCCTTGTAACCTTGACTTTCAACCTCATTCTTGGTTGTTTCGTCATTTTAAAGAACTTCACTGATCTGGTTATACTCTGTGCTGTAATACAGCTGCAGGTGAAGGGACATCTAGGATCACACCTAGCACGCCTGTAATACATTGTATTGTATTCATACAATTTATGACATTACTGTCATAATGTATCTGTACTAAAAGAAGAACATCAATTGTATGTATTTGCCTTCAGGTGAAGGAGCAACACACACAACCCGCCCTGATTCTACACTAATTTATTTTTTAAATCTCATTTGTTTTTTTTGGCAGGGAGAGCGCAGAATGCATGAACGAGGGGCACATAAAGCCAGATCGCTAATTCATTTGTTGTTGGAGTTTGTAAAGTTCCAAAGAGCCGGTGTTACACCCCTACTGGTTTTTACACCTGAGCAAAATGGATAAATATGACGACGGGTCAACAACGGTCTGTAGGTCTCCGTGGCGCACTGCTAAGAGCAGCCACCAGGTTGATGTTTTGATCCACCGGGTTCGAATGCAGGTTGTGCCGATCTTTCCTTTAATATATTGTTTTTATATAAATGTTTTCATACGTGGCTGTGATGTGGTGCTCACTTATACAATCGTAAACGAATCGTTTTGAAGATTTTCAGCAATGTGTTTGTGAATGTGTGACGAATCAGGGAACTGAGGCGAACACGCACTCCGGTGAACCTGGGCTCGCGAGAAGCCCTCTCAGGTGAGCGGGGTGAACCCGCAGCTAGCGCGGAGAGACCCGGCTCTCCTGTCGGCGCGCTCAACAGGTTCAACGCTACGGGAAACACGACAATGTCCACGGAAAACTGCCTCTACTCACCAGAGAAATGAGGCCGCGGGAAAAGCAGTCTGGTCGTTGCCGTCCACAGCGGTGAAATGAGCCACGCCCTCTGTTTACTCGGAAGTACGGGGCGAGCCAGTACACTGGGCCGCCAAACCGGAAATACGTCGATTTTCACAGTAAGAGTCAACGCAATGGAACGTGCGTATACTAGAAAACCGCCTGCGATGCCAGCGGTTAAAAGTTAATGGATATAAATAAATAATCCGATATTCATTTTCCACGCATTGTGTCAGTGTGTCAAGAGAAGAACAGATCGTCCATCAGCTCTTTGCTTTCGTCAAACAACATGTTGCTGGGAAGAAGATTCTGGTGCCGTCCATATATTCGGTCTTTGTTGCACTTGATGTTTGCATGTGGATTATTTTTGACTGACCTTTTCTTTTGAGCCTTTTCTGCATCAGCTTTAATGCAAGCAGAGGATGTTGAAGATGCGCGTTATGAAGAACTTGATTTGTGGTTTTGATTTTGGTTTTGACACAGTCGTTTACTCGTTTTTCGTTTAGAACCAAAAAACGAGACAGACTTGACAACTTTTTACTCCGTTAATCCCTTTCGGGGTTTTTCCCATAAAACTAAAATGCGAAGCGGGCCGCTAAACCGGAAGTACTCAGATTTTCACAGTAAGAGTCAACGCAATGGAACTGTGTATGCTAGAAATCCGTCTGTGATGCCAGCGATTAGGAGAAAAGTTCATTCATTATTATAAATAACCCTGGTCCAACGGGATGTGTTAGCAACAGTAGTGACTACATCACTGTAAAGTGATTTGAACAATAAAATCAAATCATTGTAATAATAATACTGTAGCGATCGGGGCGGTAGATTGCGTTAGGCTGCGCTGGTAGGCGCATTGCATTTTGGGACAATTTTTGGATGCATTTAAATCCTTATCTGTTATGTTCATGTTCTAGTGCAGCGGTTCCCAAGCTCAAGAATGCCGCGGCCCACTTTGAAATCTGAAATTTTTTTGCGGCCCACCCAAACCTTTAATCACAACTCTGATCAAAACATAAACTAGGGATGATTAAATGACCTTAAGAGTTTAACCGTTTCAAAATGTATTAACCGACTGATTAATGTATGTTTTGTGTACCATTTTCTCCGGAGCTCATGTGCCGTGTTTTCCGCGCAATAAGGCGCATAAGATACTGCAGTCTATCAGCGCAAATCACTGTCAAAATTCGAGAGTAAATCAAACATCCGCCAGCAAAAGTCCGTCTCGAGCGAGGTATTTGCTCGCTTGTGAGACGTGAACTTCGTATCTCGCGAGGAGAATCTCTGCTCGCGCTCGAAGGAGTTTTCTACGCGCTCGCTGTTCTTTCTGACAGTGAGGGGGCGTAGCCAGTCACATGGTCTCTACACCTGATTGGTTACAAACCCCGTCTTTGGATTGGCTGGAGCCAGTGCTGTAGTGGTAAAATTAGAGGTGGGTAAACTCTGAATTTTGTGATCATACAGACCTTGACGCGATGCGAAGCAACGCAACACAAAGCGTCGTGACATGTGTTAGTTTGTAGTTTATTAAATTTAAGAAAACAGTAAAGAAAAGTATGTCAACACAACATAACAAGACAATTGCAGATTAAGAACTATCTACATATGGAGTCTCCTTTTCACAGTAGTGCCCAGAGGGCCTCCTTCTCCATGGCAGGTCCTGCCTTGCACAGAGGAGCCTCTATTCGACCTGGTGTTTCTCCTCTCCCTGTGCTCTCTGCATCATTGCCTGTCCTATCACTGCCTGAAAAACTATGTTGAATTTAAGAGTTAACCAGTTCAGCAGCCTGTCAATTACACTGACAACATAAGTTAAAGGAACACTCATGTACTACCTATGTCATCATAAATAGCCTATACAGCATGTTTTTTTTTCTCATTGAGAACTGACTTGTTTTCTAATCCACCAGGCGTTTTGCGCGCAACTATTCCCCCCCCCTCGGTCGTTCCGCCCGCAACGACTACTACCCCCCCCGTCGGACCTTCTCGACCGGTCCGCGAAATATTGTCTGACATGAAACCGGTCCGTGAGGTAAGAAAGGTTGGGGACCACTGGGCTGATCCACAGCGTGTGTGTGTTTACACACCTCCTGGATCCTGATTGGTGTCGCTGCTGCAGCCTAATTGGATGGTCACAGACCGTAATACAGCGCAGATGAAAATGATTCAGACTACGGCGTTTATATGTTCAACAATAGGAAACGTAGTCTTAGCTGTTTTAAAATTACACCAAGTTTATTTCTGATTATTCCAACGGAAGAATACAAGGCGCAGGGAACTTTGAGGTGCGTAATCGCCACTTAGAGGTGCGTAAACGCTATTTCCAAAATTCTAGAGGTGCGTAAACGGCGTTTACGTGCATTTACCCTCCACTACAGCCCTGGCTGGAGTGATGCATTCACACAACTATAGAAGCCCATTTCCGCACTGAAGAAAGGGGATAGAAAGTAAAAATTATGAGATAAAACGTTGTCAAAACACAAACGACACCTTTATGTAACCGTAGTGGAGCGTAGATGACAACGAGCTACAACCATCATTTACCATCATTACCGGCACATTAAGACCAATGCGTCCAGCTCGCAGACGGGCTGGTGATTTGCCGCCGTAGCAGTCAAACGTTTGGCGTCGGGGCGGGTGGATGGGGGGGGGGTGGAGACGGTGCTTTCAGGGTCCGATCGATGCTGCGACGTGCGTCCGCTCCCGCCGCCCCCCTCGCCAGCCACGACTTAAATCTTCGGCTGCTCTCCAGCCACGCCGCCTGCCAAGGGCTCCTTTTAGAATAACTTATTTCCCCGTTAAGATGGTTCAGCTACTGTAAAGAAAAGGGCACCGTCTCTCGCTCTTTAATCTCATGAAGTGCTCGGCAAGTACGACAGCTTTGTCTCTCCGACGCGCCCTGAAACAAGCTCCATATCTCACGCGCTTGAGCGCCGCTCAGCATCTCTGTCGTAGACAGAGCTTTGGCATGTTTGGCGCCTTGCGCGCCGTGTACAACCAGTATGGATCAACCGATTAACCAATCTGTTCGTTTAAATTGCTTGTGCTTCATTAAAGTTTCACATAACTAATGTGCCGCATCATACATATTTTATATTAATTTCAAACTTTTAAAAATTGAAATTTAAAAACGTTTTATTTATTTATTGTAAATGACCTCTCGCGGCCCACCTGCAGTACCTTCTGTTCTGTGTTCAACGCCTTAATAAAGTGTCTATCTTCTGGGGTCTTGCAGTGTACGAAACACAGGAAAGGCAGTGAAAGTAATTCAAGTCTCCTGTCTCATTCATCTGGCCAAGTGGGGTATAGCTACTAGAATGCAGATGGAGATGGAGATTGAAGAGCTGGAGAGGGCCCTAGAGCAGACCCAGGGCCACTTGAGAGGCCTGATGCGGCAAAAGATGGAGTCTAATGAGGATGGACAGCGCCTAACCCTCCCTGATGGCTGCAGTACCAGACGGCTACACCAGCAGGGGAACGTCTCAAGGCCTCACCCACCACCCATGGCTACGGAAAACCCTTGATTGACCAGGACGGCTACTACCAGTGAGGGCCTGCTACCGACTAACGAGTGTTAATTTCGTCGACGAAAACTATGACGAAAATTTTTCGTAAACAACCTTTTTTAAGACAAGACTAAGACGTGACGAAAACTATCTTAAAAAAAAAAAACAATGACTAAATCCATTCTAACTTTCGTTAACGAGACGAGACGAAAATGTTGGTGGTTGACGAAGTCACAACCCAGAATGCGCGCTTGCATCGGTGCAGCGGTGGTTCTTGTGCACCGACTGTGGACCGCAACGACTATTTTACGCTTCGGCAACTTTGAACGTGCGCTTCTGTAGTTTAGCTCAGCTGTCTTGGTTTAGCTGCCTGTTAGCAGGCTGAAGCCGCGGTGCTTCAGAGAAACATGAAGACCCGTTTAACAGCTCGGGGCTGTTAACACTTCTAACATAATAAACTCATTGCAGGTTCTGAAGCCTCACGCATTTTAACCATAGTTCACGCGCCACATCGTGAGAAGACGGTGTGAAACCGTCTTGGCCACCGTACGCTCGTTATAAGCAACATAGAGGCGCCACACACGTGACAGGTGGATCCTTTTGATAGAACTGCGCAGTGCAGGTGAAGGACGTGGCGGCACAGAGCAGGTGGAGGAAAACCCGCAGGACACAAGAGAGAAGAACTGGTCATGAAACCAACAAAAAAACAAAGAGACAAAGAGAAAGAAAAGACTGTTGAATGAAAAGTGGGGGTCCAGTTTAGAATGGCTGGTTTATGCTGCAGCCAAGAAAATAATGTATTGCACCGATTGTAGGACGTTAAGGGGTCTCTTTTGTTGGGACGAGCAATTTCACAGTGGAAACAATAAAAGGACCATGAAGTTTCTGGTTGCCATGTCAAAAGCATTGCAAGTAAACAGACAAAGACAACAAAGTGTTGCGTTTAGATCCCTGGTCCTCATCAGGAATCAGGAAACATTTATTGCCAAAATATGTCAGACATACAAGGAATTTGTCTTGGCGGTTGGTGCGTGACAGTAGACAGTGTAACAATAGACAACAAGACAGCAGTGCACAAGTAATAAAATAAAGTAAAATGAAATGCTAATGCAACGAGTTAGTAGAATAAGGCTATGGGTTAGTATAAAACAAGAGAATAAAGTTAGAGTTAAACATTTAAAATATTGTCCGGGGTGAGAGGGGTCGGCTACGATCTGCTTCAGAGACCTGGAAGCGAAGTCCTGCAGGGACGGCAGATTGCAGCCGATCACCCTCTCTGCAGAGACGCTGCAGCCTGCCCTTGTCCTTGGCTGTGGCTGCAGCGTACCAGACGCTGATGGAGGAGCAGAGGATGGACTCCATGATGGCCGTGTAGAAGTGGACCATCATCGTCTTTGGCAGGTTGAGTTTCTTCAGCTGCCTCAGGAAGAACAACCTCTGCTGAGCCTCCTTGGTGATGGAGCTGATGTTCAGCTCCCACTTGAGGTCCTGGGTGATGATGGAGCCCAGGAAACAGAAGGAGTCCACAATAGTGACGGGGGAGTCACACAGGGTGATGGGGGAGGGTGGGGCTCTGTTCCTC